AAATAAATATGACCTTCAAACCTAAATCGAAAGGAAAAAAAAGGTATTTTCATGTGCCAATTGTTATCATTACATTTTTTTTGTTTTAAGGAAGAAAATAAGTTTTGAACTTTCTTATTGATGAAAATAAGAAATTTCAAGGTGGCAGCTGTCGTATGACGAAATGGGAAGATAGGCACCAGTGGGAATGCTAAAAAAATATTTTCTTCCTTAAAACAAAAAATTCAATGATAGTATATGAAAAGAAGTGTTCATTTGCTTTCAATTTATGTATAAAGGTAATTTTTAGTTAAGCCACCACATGGCGTAAATCGCATCTGAATATGATCAAAAATTACGATTTTGTAGAATTTATGATTTTTTCTCATAAAGTTTACCAGCTTGATAAGTCTCAAATATTTTTTTCTCAAAATATACCTTGCGTGGAGTAGGTATTCACTACACAGATATTCACACAAACTGCAGTATTGCAATAAAGAAATTGCAAACATAGCACATTTTGGATAAATTCTTAGAAGCATATGTGCCAGTATTGTTGCAAAAATATTACTGAGCTTCAAACACCTTACACAAGAACCTTTACTCAACATGTAGACCAAGTTTGGTATAGAACGTACTTTTAAAATAAATTTTTTCACACACACCCAAACGACATCCCGGAAAGTTCCGAGGGCAACCTTGCGACCAAACATTCTTTCTCTCCGAAATATTCTACTGTTTCACTGCTTTCAATACAGTTAATCAGCACAATATTTTTCGAATGCATTTGAGATGGTCGCCAAAACGGCTGGGCGTTTAGCATGAAATCACCCTAACAGTGTGTCATGAACACAGAAAAAGGTCCTATGCTGATTAAGCCCTTTATTTACCAAAAAATATACTGAAAGTGCCTCCTCTGAGGCACTGTATAGTGCCGCTTTTTTCACAGTTCTAAGGGAACTAACTGCACGGGCTATTGTTGTTTACATGTGCAGCAGTAGCATTAATATGTAGTAGAACTTGCTGTTGGGATAGTTGGTGCATGGTTGCATTAAATATTAGTCAATTTTGCGCCAAAATGACGACCACACAAACGAAGAAAACACATAAACGGAATGGGCACTCATTTGCAATTGTTGATTTCTTGAGGAAATAGGCTGATATAAGCCAACTTTTTGTCAACGCTTGTGCAACCTACTCGGGCCGTCCCTTACTTAATCACCCTATAGGACACATGATCGCTAGGTATCCGTGCTTCCAACTCATACATAATGAGTGAAGTTTTGCTAACGCAATCGATACCCCTTTTCTTTTGTGAAAGCCCATCAAAATGGCTCTTGGTGTGAATCCACATGAAGTGACATGTGCTCTTGAACGGGCACCGTCGTTATTCTTTGCCGTAAGGGTGTGTTCCCTCGCTCGATCACTGACGCAGCGCCTCGTCGTCTGGCTAACATGTGTCTTTCTGCACGATAGGGGTATTTTGTAAACCACTTCAGTGGCAGACTTCGTGAATGGCCACGCATGCTTCTTTTTACAGCCTTTCAGCTGCTCAGCATAATTTTCAGCGATGCACCGGCGCAATTTTGCTAGTTTGTTAGGGGCACGAACACGATCAGTACTTCATGCCGGCTCGCCACCTTTTTAAGGTTTACGTATGAATATATAGTATATTATGAATATAAGGTACAAACAGCTGCTAGTGAGCACCCGTCCTGTTCATGTGTTTTCTTTGTGCGGTCGTGGTTTTGACGTGAAATTGACTATTCAATTCAGGCATTCATGTCTATTCACAGCACATGTTTAATGTCTGTAGCAAAATATTACATGATATTTTCGTATTCATATTTGCATGTTCAAGAGAACAGCAGCCGTGCTAATTGTGTCAATTGGATACAATTTCCTAATTTTGCACAAAACCAGTATGAAATGCCCAACCAGCCTCAATTATTTCTCAGTATTGTTAACTTTATCAAGAAACATAAAAGCCATTATTCAACTTAAGTTTGCGCATCACCATCCAATTGATTGATGTGTGCAGTTTAATGTCCTAAAGCCACCATTTGATTATGAGACGCTTCAGGGGAGGGCTCCAGAAATTTCGGCCACCTGGGGTTCTTGTGTACCCAAATCTAAGGAAATGGGCCTACAGCATTTCCGCCTGCATGAAAAATGCAGCTGAGTACTTTGGCGACTAAACCATCGAGGCGGGATCATCATCATCCAATCTAATACAGATGTGCCACCGTAATTATAACTTTTAATTGACTATATTCTAACCTCACAGCGAAAGAAAAGAGTAGAACGGTTTAAAAGAAAGTTCTACTCCCCCCTTTCTATGACGTCCATAATGCTTTTTAAGTCGCTTCTGCCAGAATACGCTTTCTTCGCTCTGCGGAAAAGTGCTTTTTGATTTAAAGGACACAAAATATTTTTGTCCCTATATTACTCTGCCATGCAGATGCCATTCAATAACGAGTACTAGTATAAGTGATGGCCGTCTTTCAGAGTGATTTATGAGGTTTTTGCAGCCTTAAGCGACGATAAAGAAAATCGTATGCCACTTTTTTTTCTTTTCGCCACCCCCTTTAGCTCCTCCTTTACGAATATCTGGAATTTCTGGGTCGCCTGTCAAACAGTTGGACAAGCTCACCAAATGCTACTGCGAGTTTTACACCCGTATTTTAGAACGTCCCTTCACTAAATGCTTCACCTTGACTTGAGAAAATTGATTCCAGCGCAGTCTCTAGGCAGAGCAAGTCACTCAATATCAGGGATAATCTGCTGCGATTCTCAAGAAACGCAGCGTCATTTTTAGACAAGCGGTGGCGCTCTTCTCAGCTAGTACAAGTGAAGGATGAGATTCGAGTCTAGGAGCATTCGTATATAGGGAGGATAGCAGTGTTTGCACTGTGGGACAGTTCAAGAGTGCTTTTGTTGAAATAGCTGCACTCTCATGTATTTTGAATGAATTAGCGTATGTCAAATAATTTCTACATATACTATTTTGTGTGTGTGATTCAGTATAATTTGTTGTACTACTGTAAATTTGGAGCCCCACCGCGGTGGTCTAGGGGCTATGGTACTCGGCTGCTGACCCCCAGGTCGTGGGATCGAATCATGGCGGCGGTGTCTGCACTTCCGATGGAGGCAGAAACGCTGTAGGCCCGTGTGCTCAGATTTGGGTGCACGTTAAAGAACCCAGGGTGTTTAAAATTTCCGGAGCCCTCCACTACGACGTTTCTCATAACCATATGGTGGTTTGGGGACGTTAAACTGCACATATCAATCAATGCTGTAAATTTGAAATTTCAAGCTCAAAAATGCTGTGTTTGTTTTTCCTGAAACCTGCTCCAAATTTAGATTTTCTCCCTAGAAAAGCAAGATATGATGCTCCAAAATATTGCTCCAGATGATAGCTTGGCTGCTCCACCTCTGCTAGCTGTAAGTGGTTACTCTTTCACCCTGCTTTTGTGTCCCCAGTTTATGCTCTTTGATGTTGCATTGTTTCAGGGGGACATATTATGTGATGTGCTTGATATTTTACATATTTAAATCAATTATTCTGCGTGGTTAGTATCTAGTGACACTGTTAAGCTATTGTAATTTTGCCAATTGTTTTCACTCCTGTATTATTGTTTCCCCAGTATTCTGAATGTCTGAACACACAAGGGTTATTGTGAAATGAAAATGCCATTTTAAGACTGTTTTGTCATTACATTCATTAGAATACCACTAGCCTGGCATAATATGCATAAGGCATGCCACAACACATGCAAACTGTGGCGTATCATTGTGGTAATTGTAGTGTGCATTGATATATTATTTCAGTATATTGGAGAAACAAGGCATGCTGCATTGCACTACTCTTCCTGCTGTTTGTATGCTTCACTGCACTGTGCTTTTGTGCTGCATTGAAGCATGTTAAAATTAGTTCTTCATTTTTAAGTGCAAATAAAGGCTCTTTTGTTGTACTTTGATATGCATGCATTGGTCGTTAGAGCTCCATGCTGTACCATTGACGTCTGATTTTCGGTCTTCTTTTGTAGCAAATAGCACTCTGCTTTGCACAACTGAAAAAGGCTTTTGATTAGGGTACAATTTGTCTCTGAATCCTGTATGTTCTCTGTGCCTAATAAAATAAAGCTTGATTTCGTTTTGCACAATGGCATGACTTTGTGAACGTTGTGTTATGTGTGGCAGCTCATTTTGAGTGATGCCTTTGCATTAAGCTAGGATTACGTGTTATATGCCGTGCTTCATATATTTGCACCATAAAAGCTGTGCTAAGGCCAGGATTACCACACTGTGGCAGGAGCCACTACAATAGGACATCTGCACATGAAAGGTCTAGCTAAAGGGTAAGCTTTCACGTGCTTCCACAGGGGCTTACTGGAAAGGGGTAACTTTCGAATTATGGTATTTTTTGCATGGGTGTTGGGGCATTATTCAGCATGAACACCCCCACACCCTTTTTGCTGTTTGAGCAATTACACCCCTACACTACTTTTGTTTTTTAAGGGTGTTAGGGTGTCATAGCATTATTACACCCTTACGCCCTTAAGATTACTTGGGTACATTCGCTTTTACACCCTCACTCCCTTAAGGCCACTTGGGTGTACATTTGTCTTTACACCCGAAAAAATGTTTGTGCCATAGGGTGTGAATTCGGAAATCCGCCCCACGATATAGGTGTAGCCCTGCTTGATACACCCATTTTGTGGGGTGTTGGGGTGTGAGTTATAGACACTATAAAACACCTATATGGGTGTAATTTGGTTTACAGTGATGCATGGTGACAGTAAATGTAGCATATTACTGCTCTAAGAAAGTCGCCTTCCAGTACCATGGTCAACCATGGTCAGCTAACACCAGGGTCAACTGAAGCAGGTAGTGGCCAGGAAATTCCGCCTTTCTACCGTATAACAAAAAAATAACGGTGTTTTCTCACTAGCAATATGGCGGCATAGAACGACCACATTTTTTTCAAACACTCATGAAGAATTGAGCAAAAACGCAGGCCAGTGAAAGAGAACTTTATTTGCCACTAAGCAAGGTCGGATCTGCTTTTAAGTGTGATATAGTCTTTAGATTGATGTACCATTTCGCGGCATTTTTCGCTCATGTGTATTTTGCACCAGTCCATGAGTTACCCATAGTAAAGCAGATATCCTTGAAATAAAAACCCGTAGCTGCCACTTTGCAGCTCTGACCAATTTTGCTGTATTTTAGAAAGTACCTGCTCAATAAAAAATTCTTTCAATAGGTGCAACTACCGTGTGCACATTCTAACTGTTTCTTTAAGAATATCATTGGCAATGTATTTTCCAGCTTCTCATGATGCCAAGTTTTGCTTCGAGCACGCATGAACTATTTCCGCGCTTCAGTGTGTTACTTATACGGCATAAGCCTTTACCACAGAATTGTTTTGTCGCATTATTGTTGTGTCCCATGTGCTCCAGCCTTCTGACCCTTTGCAGTCGTGTATCTAATAAACTTTCCATCTGCCTGAAAACATGGTCTGTGGTAAGGCGTGTCCTGTGCATTAGGCACGGGGAATGACAGTGACGAGCGTCATACATTTTTTCTCGCAGTCAGAATACGTGCGGAACCTGTTGCCATTGCCGTGACAGCCTCCGTAGGTGAACACTTCGCACGTCTCGGTCGTGGTGTTGTAGTAGTAGCGAGACATGGCAGCCTCGCAGGGTCCCGTCTCAGGCGGGTAGGTGCAGACTTTAGGCAGGGCCACTGCAGTTGAATGTGATGGTTGTATTTGCGAAGCATGAGGTTAACAAGTATCCCTGTCACACTGACAAATTCAGTGTCATTCTGTCCTAATGGACTTACATCCCCCCAAAAAATGTTACTTTGGCTGCACGCTGTTGCACAAGAAAAAGAATCGTATTTTGGATATTGTGATAATGGCTAGTAGCACACGAGAAAGAGAGAGAGAGATAAAGAAACAAGGAAAGGCAGGGAGGTTAACCAGACGCACATCCGGTTTGCTACCCTGCACTGGAGAAGGGATAAAGGGGAGAAAAGAGGTTGCAGAAAGATGAGAAGGTACACACAATCACGAGAACACTCGGGGAGCACACTCGGGGAGCACACACAGTTTACAGGCGGTCGCTCAGGTTTGTTGACTTAAGGTAAAGTAGGAGTGCTTTAGTTGCTTTCTGCGCAACTGAGGCAGATGCCCAAGGTCCTAGTATCTTCTGCACACAAAATGGTCCGGGGTCAAGTCGATTCAAAACCATCCGTAGCTGGCATCGCTGTGTGTCTTGATGGTTTTGAATCGACACGAGATATTTGTTATTCCAGGCCATGTGCCTTCAGTGCAGACTAAGCGTCATAATCGATGATTGTAACTTTGTGCACTGATAGCAAGGGTTATCAAGGTTCAAGTTTAGATTGTATGCACTCAAAGCTAATATACACCTTACTTTGTAGGGCCACAAAATTACATTTGTCGGTTACCAAGCTCAGAGGGATGTAATGAATTATGGCTATGAGGGGCCCCTGAACTAAACCATTAGTGTAAATATGGCGGATGTGGCCATCGCACGGCTTGTGATGGGCATGCCCCTGGTGGCCGCCCATGGCAGTAAACTAGCCTCATAGTGAAAATAGTTCTTTTGTTATATTAGTACGTTTTAATTGTTAAGAACATTTCTATTAAAGAAACCGATGCTTAATAATGCATTGAACTCGGCTTTGTATAATACCTTATTATAGAGCCACTGCTATCGACAATCCGTCGTAGCAAAGTTAATTTTATCAACGCGCTCGTCGGCAAGTGCGCTTTGCAGCGAGTGTCGCTAAGCATTCCCATCTGACAGCTTGCGAATGATGCCGCCGGTGGAGCACACACCATCTAAGTGTGTTCAAGTTTGCCCACGTGACAGGGTCATAGCGCCTTAATGGACAAATGACTAGCACTGTAGCGCTGAAGAAAACACGACGAACTGGATGGAAGCAAAAAAAGTGCGCTAACCTTGAGCGTAGTTGTGTTGTGTCTACCGAAGTAACCAGTGGATTGATACTGAAACATGAGATGGCTACAATAATATATAAAGACAGCGACGACTGCACCATCGCTGAAGCTACGCATGTAGCACGCCATCATGGTGTTAGCGGGAGTAAGCTGCCTCTGTCCTTTTATCTCGAGGAAATTAGGCTTGTGGAAAGCGTTACACCGCTAGCACCGTGTATTTTTGCCCTATTCTTTTTTGAGAGTTCCGGCTTCTCATTTAGAAAACCTAGACAGTTCAAATTTTGTTTACGCGTGTTCGAAATACACGGTGTGCTAGGAACTGCTTGTGGTGCTCGTGCCTATATGGCCTCAATCTTAAACGGGCCTTAAATCGCAACTGGAGTACTGGCCATAAAATGTATTCCACGTATAAAAGTGGAAGTGAAGCCACATTAGCTGAACACTGTACTCGGTCTCGACGGCTCGAGCTTACAAGCACAGCGCACTATTTTTTCCCTTTTTTCCTAAATGGCCTGATGTATGACAGCAACGTTGGTGCCAATCGTGTAAAGGCATAAGTGAGATTCACAGACAGAGCTGCTGTTACCGGGAGGCAGGCAGTATTTTCTGCCTGGGTATTTCATTTCTGGGACTCCCGGGTATATAACTGACGCAGTTCACTGAGCACAATTCGTTGCGTCTCGTGCGCTTGACGTTTGGTTTTAAGTCGCTCGTGGGCTCCCCAGGGGGTTGAAATTTCAGGAGTCCTCCACTACGGTGTCTTTGATAATCATATCGCGGATTTGGGGCGTTAAACCTTAGATACTACTACTAATACTACTCTCGCTTGTTTTATAGAGATGGTTGTTATTATTTTTTGTGGGGTTTAACGTCTCAAAACCACCATATCATTATGAGAGACGCCATAGTGAAGGGCTCCGGAAATTTCGATCACCTCGGGTTCTTTAACGTGCACCCAAATCTGAGCACATGGGCCTACAACATTTCCGCCTCCATCGGAAATGCAGCCGCCACAGCCGGGATTTCATCCCGCGACCTGCGGGTCAGCAGCCGAGTACCTTAGCCACTATGCCACTGCGGCGGGGCAATATGAGAATCAAGCAGCATGGCTTCAGAAAAAAGTGAAGAGGCAATGCTGTCAAATGAAATCTATTTCGTGTTTCCGCTTGGAATTTCTTCCAAGCGCAAACGAAAACGAAACAGGAAATAAATAGTACCTCTTGTCTTAGAATTTGTCGTACTTACAGGCCAAGAGCGGAACTTCGAAGTCTCTTACGATCTTGTGCGATGACTGGGTCAGGTATGCTGCGTGGATGCACCAAAAAGGAAGAAAAAGAGAAAACATGAAAAAGATAATCATGCTGACGTAGTATAGCACCCTGCGTGAACTGCCGAGTATACTACCATTAAGCACTGGGTGAGTTGCTATCGTAGTTTTAAAACTTGTTACAGCGCAGTAAGCTATAGGAAAAAAATAAAGACACAAAGCAAAAAGAAAAGAATAAGAATGCTTTGCTATAGTAGGTGCAGCGTATATAGGAGTGTGTATTTCGCGATGAGCAATCTCTTACTTGTATTATGACAAGATGGTAATATTCTCAGAATTGTAACGAAATATTTGTTAACAGACCTAACACAAGCAAACTGTGCAAGATACGTCATGACTATTGAAATTTTGATCTTATGTAATTTGTATAGACATTTTCACAACAGAATAAAAGGCCTCTATGCTGTAATGGCCGACGTCTAAGTGTAATGAAGTGAAGTGTAATGGCCGACGTCTAAGCCTCCGCGGTGCATTTTTTTTGTGGGTCATGACTATGATTTAGTGCAGCCAAGAGAAGATGAAGGTGGTCACCAGGCCTGCGAGAATGTCTATACAGAAACGTGATTTGGCTGAAAAGAAAAGCACTGAGTGTTTGCTGTTTTTAAAATGTTCGTATTCACCAACACCTGCTTTCGCAACTGAACGCAGATTCTTGAATGATTACGCTCACCCGAGCATGCGTCCTTGCACTCCTCTAGGGTGTGGAAGTTGTTGCCGTTGCCCCAGCATCCTCCGTATATAAACTGCTCGCAAGTCTTGGTCACGTTGTTGAAGTAATAGCGAGGGAAGTAGCCGGTGCAGAGGCCGGGGTTCTTGGTCTCGTTGCAGACAGGGTTCAGTCCCACTGCGGAAGCCCAAAGTACACGTACAGGACAGCAGACGCATAATGCCAGCCATTCTGGATAGTGTTACTTATCTAGCGCGGTGCATGAAGTGTACTTTCAGGTCATACTGAAATATTTTCTTAGAAAAATAAAATTTTATAAATTTGAATATATGGTCTGTGTTTTACCACTGTTTAGGCAGTATTCCGACACCGTGCACTAACATCTTGTCATGCACCTTGGTATAGTGTATCAAGCCATCCATTTAAACTGTCCGAAAGGCCGGAAAGCAGATGCTATGCATGGAGATAGATAGATAGATAGATAGATACTTTCAAAATGCTTGTGGTTCATTCAAAAGCGCTTGTAAATTCAAAGATTGAGGGAATAAGCTTATATTTATTACAGAATATTCGACATTCAATACTAGGCTCCGGAAGCAATTTCGCAAAAAAAAAAAAAACGGCTACGTTCCTCACCTATTGTGCCTTATATAAATGTAGAAAATATTGTTTACAACGTGGAAACTTCGGTCGGATCCGAAACGCTTATCGCTCTTGATTGTACCAGCATGCTGCAAACTTCATTGATAGTAACCATGGGCTGACGCAGATCATATAACAGAAATGGTAATTCTTTTTTTTATTGAATAGCAATTATATGGACACTCTCGGCTGAATTTTGCCGCCGGCATCAACGACCGCCGTCATTTACCGTATATTTATACGTATAGATATATATTAAAACGCAAGAAAGAAAAATAATCTAGAAAAGATTCCGGAGTGCGGAATCAAACGTCTGACCTCTCGTTCCTGAGTGCGCGGCGTTTCCCACAGAGCCACGAAGGAGCACCTTCGTCGACGTCGAAACAGCAAGCTGTTTATATGTACCACTCGGCGCTAGCGGCGCCTGTCTCGGGGGAAATAGCCTGTTTTCAGCATTACCAGCGAGGAGGCGCGACGAGAGCGCTCGGCGCCCAGCTCGTCACGATGCGTCGATGCGTGGTCATCTCTCACACGTGCTTTGCGCTGCGGAGGGCGAGGAGCCTTATCCGCGCACTTATCCTGAAGTGGTGGAGAATCGCGCGCATTCGCCTTTCACTGGAATGATCGCGTTCAGTGGGCGCTCTAAGAGCACTTCGCTCGCTGCACAGGCTCCGTTTGCGAAAAGACCGCGCTTTTCTACACAACGAAGTAACAACTGAGACACTTGTTAGTTTGAACTTGTATCTGTGTCTGTGATTACGTTTCATGCGTCGTTTTTGTTTAAACAGCCCGTTAAGTGTCGAGCTGTAAACGCTGTTAGTTAGCTCTTGCCCTATGTGTGTTGTTTTCGTGCGTCATTTGTGCGTGAGCAGTTCGCTGCACGTTTAGATCTGCTTGCCGTTCTCAGCATTGCATTGCAAGTTGTTGCTATATCATTCATCGCTTCACCTTTGTGGTGAAACTGTGGCTTTCTCTATTACGCTGAATGTTACCTCACGATCCAAAATAATGATCACTAAAAAAAAGGAGTGAGCCCTGAGGCTTTCAAAGCTTCATAGTCTACAGTGACGACAATTCTAGTTGCAGAAGTTGAGTTGATTTCATTGCTTTGTAAATATTCACTCTACCTCATCGAGTCGCCATGACGGTTCTGTGGAGATCCATGCTGGTTAATGATTAAGGATGTGTCGCGTGAGTCCACGCCTTTTCCCTTGCAAGTAACAGGAGGGCTAAAACATGCCCAAATTATTCCGCATTCCCCGCAGGGAAACGTACAGCATGCTCATACAGCGATTGATGGTGCGGACACTCAAAGCAACAAGACCATGAGCGCTGCAACTGAGGCTGTTACTTCGGCATGAGGTGCTGGGAAATTAGCCTGGTAAAATAGGGCTTGCTAGATGAGTGTTCTTGACATGTTACTTGGCGTTGCGCAAGTTACTCGGACGTTCCAGCCACTTATTTTAGATGGCTCCCATAATGTGCTTGTGCTTGATTTATTGATTGATATGTGGGGTTTAACGTCCCAAAACCACCATATGATTATGAGAGACGCCGTAGTGAAGGGCTCCGAAGATTTCGACCCCCTAGGGTTCTTTAACGTGCACCCAAATCTGAGCACACGGGCCTACAGCATTTCCGCCTTCATCGGAAATGCAGCTTCCGCAGCCGGGATTTGATCCCGTGACCTGCGGCTCAGTAGCCGGGTACTTTAGCCACTAGACCACCGCAGCGGAGCAATGTGCTTGTGCTGTATACGTGGCTGGTCCAATTAAAAACAACAAATAAAAAAAAAACTTAGAGTACCGGCGAAAACAAAAGAAAAAAAAAACAAGACCCCGCTGTACGTTTACTGAAGAGGATTCCACACAGGCTTCAGTAGTTATCCGAAGAAGTAATGATTTCGACAACTTTGCGGTAATCGTGCTGTACCTCACGATGAGGGAAATTTTCAGTATGATAAATATGAACGCCGCACTCGCCTTGCGGGTGGAAAGACGCGGAGGCCGCGGAGTGATGTATGTCAGGCCAAATAATGCGACTGTCACCTGCGGGAAAGAACAATAATCGTATAAGCGCAAAACGCTGTTTCGCGCTTTTCTGCAAGGACTGCCTTCAGGTTAAATGCGGGGATTCCCAGTGGAAATAAATGTCGGTATCTAAAAGAAAGTTGAATGCCTGCCTTAACTTAAGTGTTTAGCACAGAGGTGGATTCAACTTGCCTCGTATAGCCTTCCTTGGAATGTTAAGCTATAATACAGTTAGGGCAAAGATGAAAATGTGTGCAAAGCAGCATGATAACGAGCCCATTTTACTACATTTTTGAACCTATTCGTCAGAAGATTATTTTATGCGTTGTCTTCAAGATGTAGACCATCATTTACAGGGGTTTTCAAAAGTTCCCAGGCTGTGCTGTCCAAGGAATACACGATATTGTGTTCTGGGAAGTTTTGAACTGTACATTAACCTATACTTGCGGGATTCCTTTCGTCAGCCATATTCAATGTCATTTTTTAGTTTGAAAGTTCTTTTATGTGTGTTCGTGTGTTGCCTTCATTATGTGTTCTTCAGTGTGCTCATAAGTTAAAAAATGATTCTGTGTGTTCTTCAGTGTGCTCATAAGTTAAAAAATGATTCTAACGTACTATTGGGTCAGTACTTGGAATATTTTATTTCGACGCTCTTTGAACCCTTTTGAATGAATTAAAAAAGACTTTGTTCATTATGTTCCTAATGCAGCCGTGCAAAAAGACAGCATCATTTCTGCCAAGGAAACTACAAAACATCGCTATTCATTCTTTCATAAATGCCGCCACAACATAAGCATCACTTGTGACGAGAACAAATAATGCCCTTGAATTATTATATTTGGTACCTACGAGCTCTGTATCAATGTCGGACAAGTTCAGCAAGAAGAATATATAATGCCACAAACCTGGTGGATTGAAGGACGAAGAGGAGTGAGTTATGTCGTGCCAATAAATACGGTCCGCATCTGCGAGAGATGTTTATTATGTTATACTGCCTGCAAAACATTCAATTGTGGTGTGCTTCATGTCTTGCACTAAAGTCAACTAACCGTCTCAGGCGATGAAATAATACAATAAAATTATGGCATTGGCGATCGCTGTCAAGAGCATGTTTATGCAACAAAAGGAAAGCTAAATGCATGCTAAGGACCAACTTGAACGCAAGTTTCAACTAGATCACCAGGCAAACTTTAACCTCATTCAAACGAATCCTCTAAATGCAGCGTGGTACATATTTTCAGTGTTTTCGAAAACTTGTACCAGTTTTTCGTGCGACTTATATTACTCGAAAAGAAAAAAAAAACTCGCAACATATCTGCGGAGTGAACGATGATCAGTGGGGGCGAAGCGTCCGCCAGTCCATTTATCTGTCCGTTTGTCCGTCCGTCCGTCCGTCAATTCGTCAGCTTCTATCACACTAGAGCACGCTTCTAACGGGGCTATATACTTCAGATTTTCTTTTAATCTTCCTCGTCAGAATGCAGTACCAGCTGCGTTTGGGATCGAACCTCGTGAATTATTTGTAAACACGAAAAACTCCGGAATTATTACAAGAACCATCTAGAGGTCATCATCAAGTGCTCTCCTAGTTTAGGAGCGATTGCATTTGCAGTTCATTAGATCGCAAGGTGAGACAGCGTTGTTTCTCGTCTTGGGGATTTTAGGCACTTTCTAAATTTTAGTGAAGTGACCTTGAGTTGAAGCGGAACTAATATCACATATATTTACTATTTTGGTACGAGGAGGGAAGTCTTGCGGTCTAGATGAAAATCCAATGACATGTTCTCCGACGTCGTTTAAGGTTGCATAGTAATAAGTAACTCTAGTTATGTGAAAATAACGAAACTTACTCTTCAATAGGTTTACTTATGTACTATTTCTGCTTCTCAAGTGTTCATGCTGCCCGCCTTAGTGGTATAGCGGTTACGCTTATGGACTGCTGGCCCGATAGTCGTGGTTGCGGTATACCGGCCTTGGTAGTCGCATTAAGATGGAGACGAAATGGTAGAGGGCTTCGGGCTGTGCGATAATAGTGTGCGTGAAACGACACCAGATGGTCGAAATTTGTGGAGCCCTTCATTACGGTATCGCCTCATAATCACAACGTTGTTTTGAGACTTAAAACTCCATGTGATAATAATTAGATAAGAAACCGGTAAATATTACTCAATACAGCGTTTTCAGCACACCTTCCGTGGGGCTGCTTTTGCAAACTCCTATGAACGGCTTTTCGAAGCATTTTAACATTGGTGTTAATCAGAATATTTGTTCAGGAATTGTTTATGTATAGAGTTTATTCAATGGGGCATTGTGTGTTTCGCTCTTTGAGGACCTCAGGTTATCAATGCACACTTTTGCTTTCGAAGACGTTTTTGAGTGTGGCATGCTGTCGCACATTTTACAAGATACTTACGAACGATAAAAAATCGGAGACAATTGCACGTTTCATCGTTCTAGATCCGTGTGTAGATGGAGCGAAATGCTTTTAATAAAAACCTGGAGATGAAATCTGTCTGCGATTGCAACAAACCGACACAGGGAACGCAAGTGCAGTTTATGTATGGCACGTTTTGTGTACGCCTCATTTAAATGTGATGATGTTATGTCAAGTTGTCTAGAATACTGGTATGCCTTGACTCTAGCCTGCTCCAGTGGCGCGCTTCAACACGTGAGGTGTATGGTTTCTTCACAACTTCATATAGGGAAATGTTGCGTTTCTCAACATGCTCAAAAATATAATAAAAGTTATTGAATTGTTACGCCTCAAAAGTATGTTGCCGTAGTTAAGGCCTGCGGCAATCCAGACATCGTAGGGTTCAATAGCGTGCTCACCTAATCAAGTAGGCCTCTAGAATTGCGCCTTTATTTAATAGCGGCTGCCCGAGTGGGTTTTAATCTCATATTTTCCGGTTAGTGGTCGAGCTACTTAACCACTAGGACACAGCAGCTTGTGTGGAAGCAAATATATTGGTACTTGAAGCACGCATGTATTTTATGATGGAACGGAAACTTGAATTTGGCATGCTTATTTAAACACGCTTTTCAACTTTTAATGCTGTTGCTACGTTATTAAAAAGCGGCTGTAAAGTATAAAAATGGTATTTTCTTCGAAGTACTCCACCAACGAGGCTGGCACCAATTCAAGACAAAACAGACAAGATAAAAAGGCCTGGGTGATTCAGGGTGACCTCAAGCGTTACCTCAGAGAACAATAAAAAGCAATGTGATCCAAAACAGAAAAAAACAGCCAACACTACATATTGTTTCAAGTCAGCATCTATATTTCGTTATCAAATCTGCATTTTTCTAATTATATATTGCGACTTCCCAATTATTTCGTCAAGATGGACTGGGCAAACTGCTTGTGCTTTTTTACGTTCAAAGTGCAGCTCCAGCAAAAGACAGCCATTGCCACCAGCAGGACAAGGCCTCGCTATTCGTACTGCCAGAAACTCAGCAAGAGCTTTCTCACGCGAATGACTAGCGATGCAAAGAAATAGTGCCTCTGAATTATGATTTGCGGTACGTATTGCCTTTCTGGAAGTGTGGGACAACATCAGCAAGAGAAACAGACTTATGCCACAATTCTTGCGGATTGAAGAACAATGAAGCTGTTGAGTGATGTACATTAGGCCAAATAATACGATCAGTATCTGCGCGACATGTTTATAATGTTAAACTGTCAGTCAAACATTACTTTGTGGTGGGTTACAAGTCCTGCTGTAATATCGATGAACCACTTCAGTAGGGGAAATAATACACCTAAATTATTGCATTTGGTTTGACTGCCAAGTGCATGTGTATGAATAAGAAAACTTTAACCGTGTTACGAAAGATGTCACTGAATGGAGCTTGGGATATATGTGCAGTATTTTAAAAAAACTTGCGCCAATATTTCTAACTACTTATCTTTCTTGAAAAAAAAAAGGTGGCCCCGCCACGGTGGTCTAGTGGCTAAAGTACTCGGCTGCTGACCCGCAGGTCGCGGGATCGAATCCCGGCTGTGGCGGCTGCATTTCCGACGGAGGCGGAAATGTTGTAGGCCCGTTCGCTCAGATTTGGGTGCACGGTAAAGAACCCCAGGTGGTCTAAATTTCCGGAGCCCTCCACTACGACGTCTCTCATAATCATATGATTGTTTTGGGATGTTAAACTCCACAAATCGATCAATAAAAAAAAAGGTGGTTTTGTTTGAACTATCTGACGTTATTTTCTAGGCTGGAAGTACGCTACGTATTTCAGCTTTTTTTCTGCCCTGTTGGAATGCAGCACCAGCCCCAGTTGGTATAGAATCTCGCGAATTCTTCGGGGCCTCGCATAACTGTAGCCATTGATTCGTCGCTACCCTTAGCAAATCCTTCAAATATAGGACCGTGCCTGTATTGCTGACAATAACAATGTTTTTTTGAGTTGGTGTTCGTTTGAAACTATCTTTGCTTGTTCTTTTAATGCCAATGTTTCGACCGAGATCAAGTATCTGTTAGGTGGGTGGTCAAAGAAGAATAACTTCGTTGAGTTTCGAGCAATTCAACATGCCAAGAGCTTCGCTGGTCATCTACCTTCACATAATGGAATGGCTTCTTTTTTTTTTTTAAAATCACTTGCCTTAAAGCATAAACCACACTCTCCTTGCCTTGCTCAGAGATTACAAGCGTATGCGTGGTGAGGTAAATTGCATCAAAAAGAAATGACCGGGAGTAACTGAGAACTGGCGAGTGAGTACGATTATTAAAAGTATTCTATATGTGCTCACAGGTACGCTTCCAGCTTGTATTTGTTTCACGTGTGACCGAACGTATAGGCTTGTAGCTAGATGAATGCAACGATGCTCTTTCTATTACAAAAATGCGAATGCGACGTCGCATCACGGGTCAAAGCGCGCAGGAGAAGCCGACATAAAAAGAAGCACGCTTACCTATCGTACTGGACCGCAGGTCACCATCGATGTTCTTTGGGCCAAACTTTCGATCCGTCGGCGCTGTGCAGGGGTATAGTTTTACTATGAGAACTCCTAGTGCTATACACAAGAAGGACATCTGAAACTGTTTGTCATTAGAGCGTTTGTGCAGATGCAGATGGTCCTTCATGATGTGTTTCCAGCTTCGTCAAGCAAAAGAAAAAAACAAGATAAAAGGGCTGGCCGATTCAGGGTGACCACAGGCGTTACTGTAGACAGAAATAAAAATCTATGTGGTCTATGACAGAACAGCCGACACACACACACACACACACACACACACACACACACACACACACACACACACACACACACACACACACACACACACACACACACACACACACACACACACACACACACACGCACGCACGCACACACACACGCACACACACACAAAAGCCATCACCGTCCGCAGGATAAGACCTCGCTATTCGCATTATCACTAATTCAGCAAAAAATTTCTCACGAGAATCATTAGCGATGCAAAGAAATACTGCCCCTGAATTCCTTTGTGCTAGCTATGGCCTTTCAGAAAATAGGCTAAAACTTCAGAAACAGAAATATACAGATGCCACAAACCTTGCGGATTGAAGGATGATGAGGCGGCCGAGTGATGTATATCAGGCCAAATAATACGATCAGCGTCTGCGGAAAATGGTTATCATGGTAAAATTGCCAGTAAAATGGTACTTTGTGGTGTGTTGTGAGGCGTACCTTCAAATTGTAAAAAAAACACTAAAAGCTTAGCCTCAAAAGCAGTGGAACACTTCTCAAATAAAGTGTCCAATTTTAATGCAAGCTTCAGATCGCGGGCTGAGTTGAATCGCCTATCATATAAAATTTCTGTAGAAAGTTGGGATTGTAAGTTAAGTTACACCATTTAGGCACCGAGAGGAATATGTGCATAATTGCAAAGTAAGTGACGTTTATTCCAAGCGTGTCAAGTCATGGCTTGGTGGAGGTGCGGCTTCGTTCATGTACTGGACGCCCCCATCAAGCCGTGAACCTAGCTCACGTCACGGAGACGACACCGACGCCAGCCTCAAAGCTTTTCGAACACTGCAGGCGCAGTTTTTACCGAAAATTACATACAGTAACTGGCTTATGACAAAACTTGATGAAGGAACGTGGCAATAATATTGTTTTTCGCGCATGAATGGTGCAACTGCTCACTATAAAAGCGAAGACTTTCGCAAGAAATAAATTGCTGGCTGCTCAGCGCTCTGTCTCTCCTCGTCTATGCCCCCTGTCGTACGTGCTGCTAAGCACTCTCTTGAAATAACGCGTTCGGTGTTCCAACAACTGAGCTACCAAGGTGGCTATCGCCCTGTCCACAGTATGGGGTATGCATGTGCAATAATCATAGTCAAAATTAAGAAGAAATGGTCATGGGCAGGGGCACATAGTGCGAAGTTAATATGACCACTAGTTATGAAAGATCACAGGCTGCAAGGGAAGGTAAGCGGGTGAAGGGGAGACACAAAGTGAGGTGGGCAGTTGAGATTAGGAAGTTTGCGGGTACAAAGTGACAGCAGCAAGCACAGGACCGAGTTGACTGGCGAAACATGGAAGAGGCTTTCACCCTGTAATGGGTGTAGTCAGGATGATGATACTTATGATGATGATCATCATGATGATGTGCGATAATCCTGAGCGTGTTGATCAGTGCCGTCAGTAGCCACGGCTGCGAGTGTGGAACACTCTTTATCTGCCTGTTTGACGTAACGTAGCGCGTGAACCCATTACAAGCTGATAGCTGACGAGTAATCTTTCGTATTCTACCTGAAGGCACCAAGTCTGGAAGAACTAGACCCCCGCTATGAAGGAAGGAAAGAAGCGTCCTTTAAAAGCTCGTCTTCTTTGCTAGACACAATAATAATGATACCTCACAGACATTCAGTTAAGCGACAGTATACAGGATGTCACTAGAAATAATTCTAATGTGATTGTGAAGAAGTAAGGGGGCTCGAAAAGATGACTTGCCCTGGTGCAGGGACAGAACCTGCTACTTTCGAGAGAGAGAGAGAAAATTTATTGCGGAAAGGCAGGGAGGTTAACCAGAAAACATATCCGGTTTGCTACCCTGCACTGGGGAAAGGGTAAGGGGAAAGGGAGGAAGAGAAGCACAAACACACATACACACACTCGCACACAGTAGTGTCACAATCGTTCAACGAGGCGGGTCGCTCGCAGAAACTTCATCAGCGCCTTCGTTGCTTTCTGGCGTGAAGCTCGATCTTTCCGACATTCCAAGATTGACTGCTCAGAAAATGGCTGGTCGTCGAGGCGAGCAAACACTGCTGAGAGGGACTGTCGCTGAGAGCTGTACTGGGGGCACTGACATAAAATATGTTCAATTGTTTCGTCATTGTCGCAATGATCGCATGTAGCGCTGTCTCTCATTCCGATGCGGCAGGCAAAAGCGTTCGTGAAAGACACCCCAAGCCACATACGGCAGAGAAGGGTCGTCTCGGATCGGGGTAGGCCAGATGGAATAGTAAGTCGTAGGCATGGGTCCAGGCGGTGAAGACGGGTGTGGAGAAAACCGGGCGTATTCCGCATAGACCTTGCGACATCCTGCGCAAGCGTATTAATCTTTGCTGCTGCGTCGCTTCTTGATAGTGGAATAGGTTCCATCACTCCATTTTCGTGAGCATTCTTAGCTGCATTGTCGGCATGCTCGTTACCGATGATGCCGCAATGGCCTGGTAACCACTGAAAAGATATGTTATGTCCTTCGTCTATTAGGTGATGGTACAGTTGTCGTATTTCGAGCGCCAATTGATCTTGAGGTCCACGACGTAGAGTATTGTGTAGACATTGGAGAGCTGGTTTCGAATCAGTAAAAATGCTCCATTTTTGTGGTGTCTCTTGGTCAATCCTGCGGAGTGCGCTGCGGAGTGCCGCGAGCTCCACGGCTGTCGATGTCGTCTTGTGTGACGTTCTGAACTGGATGGTTTCGGCTCTTGCTGGGAAGATCACAGCTCCTGCAGATCCTCCAACAGTTGTCGAGCCATCCGTGTAAAGTTTGACATGATCTTTGTATTCTTCGTGTATCATGAGTAGAATCATCTGCTTTAAAGCTGGCGCCGAGAGCTCCGCCTTCTTGCGAATCCCCGGCACTGTCAAGCGCAGTTTTGGTTGGTCCAAGCACCAAGGAGGTGTTAGTATCCGTTCCGGAGGTGTGTAGACTGTTGGAAGGCACTCACGGAAAGTCAATACTCTCTTACAGAAGGAGGCACTCGGTCGATCTTCTGGAAGCGAAGCTAGGTGGTGGGCAGGGGCGCGAGCAAGGTGTCTAATATGAGCTCTAAGCACCTCCAAAGTAATGTGCACAGTGGCCGGATGATCTTTGGCGATTGCGATGGTTTCCGCTGTTGATGTACAGCGTGGTAATCCAAGACAAACTCTGAGTGCCTGGCCCTGGGCGTTTTCTATTGTGCGTATACTGCTTTTGCAAGCGTTCGTCAGAACCAGCAAGCTATACCGCAGGTACCCCAGAAACAGCGTTTTGTACAAATGCAACATCGCGTGCACTGATGTGCCCCACGTTTTGCCTCCGAGGAACTTGAAAAGTTGTGCGATGGCCGTTAGGCGCTTCTTTAGAGTGGCCACATGGGGACTCCAGCAGAGATTTCGATCGATCGTGACCCCCAAAAACCTGTGGGTCCTGGCGTAGCAGACATTGTGTCCATTGATGGCGATGGGATATGACGTCATTGCCTTCCGCGTGAACGCGACCAGCGCCGATTTCTCAGGAGAAATCTCGAGGACTTGTTCTCTAAGGTACGCCGATATTGAATTCGCTGCTTTCTGGAGTCTCGCACGTACCTGAGGACGTGTTACACCTGATGTCCAGGCACAAATATCATCTGCATAGAGAGATATCTGCACGGAATCTGGTATGCGTTCAACGAGACCGATCAGAACCAGGTTGAACAGTGTGGGGCTCAATACACCACCTTGAGGAACACCACGGTGTGTATAATGTTCAGAAGTCGGCCCATCATCAGTTTGCATAAACAATGATCTCATATGTAGGTAGCATTGGATCCAGCGGTACACTCGCCCACCCAAACCAACTGACTCGAGGGCGTCAAGTATGGCTTCGTGAGAAACATTGTCATATGCTCCTTTGACATCTAAAAATAGTGCGACAGATAACCGTCTGCTCATTTTCTGGTGTTGTACGTAGGTCACCAGGTCAATGACATTGTCAATGGAGCTCCGAAGACGACGAAAACCGGCCATGGCGTCTGGATATATTCTATGGCGTTCTAGGAACCACTCGAGTCTGGCAAGGATCATTCGCTCCATCAGCTTCCCTACGCAACTAGCCAGCGCTATTGGGCGGTATGATGTCAGCTCTAGGGGCGATTTTCCAGGTTTGAGAAGTGCAACCAACCGGCTTGTTTTCCACTCTCTGGGGACCGTTCCATCTCTCCAAGACTCATTGAATAATTCCAGCAAAGCATTTCGTGCTCGATCACCGAGATTGCATAATAGGCGGTATGATATGCCATCCGGCCCAGGCGATGACGATCGATTGCATGAAGCAAGAGCCACATTCAGTTCTTCCATTGAAAAAGGCAGGTCCAGGTGCGGGTCAAGTGAATGTGGCGTGTAATCAGCAGTAAGGGCTTCTGTGCAATTTGGTGGGCCCGCAATCTTCCTACAAAAATCTTCCGCTACCTCGATATCCCTTCTATTTTGGAAAAGGGCCAAGGCTTTAAACGGAAAACGTTGTTGGGGAAATGTGCGTAGGCCTCGCACGGTTCGCCATATTTGAGGAAAGCGGTTTGCGAGGGTCTAGACTCGCGCAAAATTTCGCCCACCGTTGAAACTCCAGTTTGTCTATACGACGCTGGATCTTCTTTTGCATGCGCCTGGCCATCCGTAGATCTTGAATGGATTTTGTGCGTCGATATCTACGCTCCGCACGCCGACGAGTCGCACGGAGTCGCTCTAACTCCATGTCCGTTTCTGAGGGCCTTGAAGAATATGCCAGCGTGCGCATCGCACTCTGCGCTGCTTGTTTGATCGCTTGCTCAATGCCATAGGTTAGGCCTTTTTCACAAGCGTGTTCAATGTTGGTTGTGAATGCTGAAAGATCGATCCTCCGTACGGTTTTCGGCGGGTGGTCGCTAGCAAAGCCTTCGATGGTGAGATAACTGGGGATGTGATCGCTACCATGTGTCTCGATGTCTAAAAACCACTTAACGCTTGTGGCGAAGCGACGTGACACGAACGTCAAGTCCAAACAGCTGCTGTACGTTGATCCTCGCAGAAATGTAGGGCTCCCATCATTAAGTAGAGACAGTTCATGAGTCGATACAAATGAAGCCAGCCTCCGGCCCGTGGTATTGACTTTTGAACTTCCCCAGATTGGGTGGTGGGCGTTGAAGTCCCCTATAATTATCCACGGATCCGGGACGCTCGAAAGAATGTCATCCAGTCTTTGGCAATCAAAACGGGCTGAGGGAGATAAGTAGACACCTATTAATGTGAAGGTGAGGGTTTTCTGCTTCACAGTCAGGCAAACATATTGGTTCTCATCATGAGGCGACACAGGTTGAATGATGTAGGTAAGCTCCCGACGAATATACACAATGACCTTGCTGCTTTCGTTTCGGGTTTTGGACGGGATTGATTCGTAGCCAGATAGCCTGATCGGGTTTGATAATTTCGGTTCACATATTACGATGATTGGGAAAAGGTTAGAAGACACGTACTGACGAAAATCGGAAATCCGTGATCTAAGTCCTCTTGCGTTCCACTGGATGACTGATGCTTCTCTGACGTCTTTGCGGAACGATTGTTGATCTCCTGCCATGACTCTACGCGAGGGAGGCGAGGACTGGGCTCAGCGCGTCCAACACCTGTAACCCGCTTCGAGCGGTTGGAGTTCCCAGGCTTCTTAGTATGTCTGCCATGACAGCGACGAGGGATCGTAACATCGGGATGATCTGCTACTTTCGACTTCGCCACTAGTTCCTATGACAAGATGAATTGATATGAAGCGAATTTTTTACTTGTGCCAGAAAAGAGTCGCCGTTAGCCTCGATGTCTCCGTGGTGTTTCTTATAAAAGGGAAGCATTAACGCATCCCACCGCCTGTTGTGTTCTATGCGCCAGTAAAAGCGCCACACAAGCATGAATACGTACGAACTAGCCCCCTTGCCTTCTTCTTATTGGCCCATGATTTGCCCAGACGAATGCTTCCGCAATCGCGCGCTTGATGCTTTACTTAAAAAACCAAGCGAATCACAGTTTAATGTCACAGTCAGGTGTCACATAACGCGAATTTCGCAAAGAGTAGGTTGTCGAATTCTCCAACCGTTTACAATACCACGATCTTGTTCACAAACAACTGTGACGCATACCCACTGTAGTTGATTGTGGTGAGTACAAAAACTTCTGGCATAATTCTTCGTTGTCGTCAAGCACAGCACAAAAACAATTTCACAATGTTCCTTGCAAGTATGCGGCAGGTACCACGATTCTGTGGAGAATCACGAAGGATGTGACACACTGAATGCCTGCCTTCTTTGATTAATGGCGCAGTGGGTACCCTGCAAGTGCGCATGATAGATACTTGAAGAGTGTTTAAAGAAGACTCTCAAAGACTGTTCTTTCAGCTTTCGTTGGGACAGTGCGGCGAGTTCCGAGTTATAGGCCTGGTGTTTTTTTTTTTCTGATGCATAGGCTCGAAGCATCTTTATTTTGAGTTAGTATTCGAAGTTCAATACAACGCTACGTTTAGAAAGTCTGTCATTATGCAGAGTAATAGTATTGCCACACTCCCTCCTCAAATTCATCCTCACTGTCAGTAATTATCAGCCCAAACCACGCCTGCAGCATTCGAGAAGCTTTGGAACTGCAATAGATCATTTTGTTAAGATTGCGCCGAACATTACACATTATCTTGGAACCAACGTGGCTGCTAGCGATAGCGCTAGAATATTCGATGGCCCGTGTATAAATGCCGACGCGCCTCACTGCTTCTCATGTTTAATTCCAATGGCAAATTCAGATCACGTTTTTCTGCTCTGAGCGGAGCAACCACATTCCGACGGTGGATTGGGAGCGTGAACTCTGTGTTCAAATGGCAGATTGAGAGGAACCGCCGATCACGGACGGCTCCGTGGAGCAATAATTCTTTCTCTGCCGAAATCCGCGGATTGGACCGGAAGTTTAGGTGAAGTAGTCTGTGTGCCCGCTTTTCATTCAATCACCGATGGATGTCCGAAAAACGCTTTGCGCACCCTCTCGTGCTGAGTGAGTGAGTGACTGAGTGAGTGAGCAAACTGTATTTACCCAGCGAATTCAAACGTGGGCCTAAGCCGCACCAGGGGCGGTGGAGAGACCCTGTCTCTCAGCCGCCTCCCGTGCTCGCTGGATGGCCCATGTTTGATCTGTCCGATCTGAGCTGATCAGCGCGGCTCTCCACCGCGCCCCAAGCTGTTCTGGGGCTCCCTCACTACATTTCCGTTCACCAAGAACTCCCTTCGAGACGCGCGCGTTCCAATAGCAGGTTTGGCGAGAGCAATCCCGCTCGGATCTGCGCGCTCCATTCGTAATCTTGCCCCGCGCTCGCTATCTGCCGTTAGAATTCAACATCAGGTAAGCGAAGGCTGACGCTCCATTTTCCGCTACCTGTACCAGTGTGTATCGCTCTAATCTTACTTTTCGTTGCCTGGATACAAGTTTGACCCGAATAAACGGTTTCATCTTCGACCTGTGGTCGGTCTCTTCGTCGACGTCACGACCCCGTGAAAATGTGCTCTGCTTGAAACAATTTAGGCCGCAATATTGCCACAAACATGACTGTGTTACTTGAACAGCGAGGAAAACTGTACCAACCTTCGAGCTGAATTCTTGGAGAACCTGTTGGGCCACTCGTTGCCAGTCCAAAGAAACCTGTTGGAAATCCCAACAAAGGTAAAGTCATCGTGGAATGAACAGCGCCGAGATCTCTGTAGTGAAATTATTCGTGGTGGAAAATTTATAGGGATAGACCTAATGATACAGTACATGCATAATCATTTTACAACATCTCACGACGCGTAAGGACAAACAGTTATAGAAGTATACGTGTCAATCAAGAGAAACCTTTGACAAAGGGATTGATTGAACGAAATGTGGAGTTTAACGTCGAACAAACCACCATCTAATTATGAGAGATGCTGTAGCGAAGGGCTCCGGAAATTTCGACCACCTGGGGTTCTTTAACGTGCGCCCAAATCTGAGCACACGGGCCTACAACATTTCAGCCTCTATCGGAAATGCAGCTGCTGCAGCCGGTTGTTCGGTGAACGTCGAGGAAGACATTTGCATTGCTCCAAGAGTGACGATGTGAATCAATGTTCGAGTGAGCGTTCTAATCTTTCATACGTCAGAGCGAGCCACCTCATTGGCATGGTTGCCTTCAGCGAACGCCCCAGCAATGCTCCAAAATGACGTTGGTTGAATAAGACCACCATCAACCACTGGTGTATTGTCCCACAAAAGTAATAATAACTGGGGTTTTAGAAGTGTGGTAGCTTGGGCTAGTTCGTATGGCATGATGATAGTTATAGCGCGAGAACACAACGACTACACACAGACAAGAATTTAGATCTCAAAATCACCCTATCAATGTGAGAGACGTTGTAGTGCAGCGAACTGGAAATTTAGACCACTTGATGTTATTCAACGGGCACTGATATCCCACACCACGCGGGCCTCTGTTATTTGGCGTCCATTGAAATGCGACCGCCTAGGTCGGAGTCGACCTTGTGACCTTTGGGTCAGCTGCCGAGCACCGTAATTACGTCTCCACCACAGCGGACATCTCACAAAAATTTGATTGATTTGTGCGGTTTAACGTCCCAAAACCACCAATGATTATGAGAGACGCCGTACTGGAGGGCTCCTGAATTTTTGACCACCTGGGGTTCTTTAACGTACAACCGACATCTCACAAAAACAGCATGCTAACAAACTCATAAAGCTGTATAGAGAAAATTTCTTATTTGCTTTTTCAATGAATAGCAATCAGTTCATTACCCACTTGTAACTAATCTGCAAAAGACGAGGCTGTTTTGTCAATATAGTGTGTTACTTCGCACTCTGCAGGTGCAAGGCGCTTATTTGGGCTAGCTCGTACTTTATTGAACTGTTAAGTAGCGCTGACTTTGGGAACGAGAGACAAAAAAAAAAGACGACACACAAGCTAATTTTCCAACAAAAATTTGTTGAAGAAACACACGACAATTGTATAGGTAACCGCGTGCCTGTGCAGCTTCACAACCACAAAACCGTGACGCCCCAAACTGATAAGCTTCAGCTCAATGGCAGTTACGTGGAAAATGTACACAATGAAAGTTATGAAATCTGATGGTGCTATGAGGCAGAACATCTAAAAAAAAAAACAGACTTCTTTTTTTTGTTACAATGCAATGGAAGGCACGCTGATACGCTGGCTATAATCCTTACAGCATCATAGGGCCTCGTGATTTCTTAACTTTCAATATTATTTTCTTCTACGTAACTGCTGTTGAGCTAAAGCTTATCCCTTTGAAGTCTCGTGATTTTGCGGTTGTGAAGCTGCGCATGCGTGGGGTCACCTATATAACTTTACGTGTTTTTTCGATAAGATTTTGTTGGAAGTTTAGCGCTTCTGTGTCACCATCTTTCTCTGTCTCTTAAACCTGTAGGTGCACTGAGTTCAGTGTCATACAGTGGCAAACTGAAATTAACAGGTAAGACCGATTTGCCGGCCTCTCGCCTCCACCTATTTCTCTAAGTTTCTTTGGCTATTTTCCTTTTTTTTTTTGCGCCTAACAACGATGCTGTTTCGAACTTCGCTGCAAACACGCGCATCCGAGGCGTTGCCAGTTCGGCTTCAGCTTTCGCATATGCCTCGTAACCGCCTTTCTAGCCCAGTCACTGTGGCGTTTAGATGCGATCCGAATTCTATTACCGGCCTCGGCGGCTGCGTTTCCCTGCGCGGAGCAACAAACGCTCGTGCAGTCAATCAGGCTTTCACCAAAAAACAGCGGGGGTTCAAAACAAATTAAATAGAGTTTACTTCTGCCGGGCAACTCGTAATAACGTTGCTGTATTGGCACAAAAAATGTTCTAAATGTCAGTGATTTTTAAGTTACATCTCGCCGTATCAACACAGAGCGTCGAAAACAATTAACAAGCTGGAATTGAAAATCTTAGCGGCAAGTTCTTCATCGATTTTCGGAGCCCTCCACTACGGTGTCTCTCATATTAATATGGTGGTTTTGGGACGTTAAACCCCACTTATCAATCAATCAAGTTTTTCATTGATGTTCACATGAAAGCGGATTGTGACACATGTCATTAGGTTTTATGGTATAATTTGATTGGCTTGGTCAGAACCCTGAATTTTAGTTTGTTTTCCTATTGAACTAAAGGTCACATGCTTACGCAAGGATATTGTAACCTCTCTTTTCATGAAATAGACCAAGAATGCTGTTGCTGCTTTTTGCGTGTAAGTCTTTACCGAAAGGTATTGCGTAGCTAAATGAAAGCCTCGTCTACCATTGGAGAGAGAGATAAAGATGCAAGGAAAGGCAGGGAGGTTAACCAGACGCACATCCGGTTTGCTACCCTGCACTGGGGAAGGGATAAAGGGGAGAAAAGAGGTTGTAGAGAGATGAGAAGGTACACACAATCACGAGCACACTCAGGGAGCACACACAGTCTACAGGCGGTCACTCAGGTTTGTTGACTTTAGGTAAAGTAGCAGTGTTTTAGTTGCTTTCTGCGCAACTGAGGCAGATGCCCAAGGTCCTAGTATCTTCTGCACACAAAATGGTCCGGGGTCAAGTTGATTCAAAACCATCCGGAGCTGGCATCGCTGTGTGTCGTAGCAAGCGCAGCTGCACAGGACGTGTTCGATGGTCTCTTCAGCTCCGCAGTAGTCGCATGTAGGAGTGTCTGCCATATTAATGCGAAAGGAGTACACCTTTGTAAATGCAACACCCAACCAAAGGCGACATAACAGTGTCGCATCGGAGCGGGAAAGTTGTGATGGTAGTTTTAGCTTGAGCGAAGGATCCAGTTCATAAAATTGACACCTTTGGAAGCTGGTAGACGACCAGAACGTGCGTGTGAGATCTCGAGCCAGCAGGTAAAGTTGTCTTGCTGCATCATTCCTTGATAGAGGAATCGGGACTACACGGGTTCCTTCATGTGCTGAGCGGGCTGCATCATCGGATAATTGATTTCCGGTAATACCGATATGTCCAGGCAGCCACTGATATATAATATCATGCCCTCGTGCTAGGGCTTCATGATGACAAAGTCTTATTTCTTGTACCAATTGGTCATGACTCCTACTACGCATGGCAGACTGCAAACTCTGAAGCGCTGCCTTCGAATCACAAAATATGACCCATTTTCCTGGACGTTCTTGAACGAGATATTGTAAAGCAGCCCTTATAGCAGCAAGCTCTGATGCCGTAGATGTAGTCATATGCGACAACTTAAACTTGATTGTCATTGCTGCAGCCGGAATTACAGCGGCACCTGATGAGCTGCTGGTTACGAGACGGACCCATCAGTGTATATCTGCGTTCGGTCTTAGTACAAATCATGTAATAATTGCAGTGTTGCTTGCTTCAATGCTACTCTGGAGTGATTGCTTTTCTTTTTGATTCCCGGAATTTCTAGACGTACTTGCGGCTGATCGAGGCACCACAAAGGACATGGCATTCTCGCAGCTGGCGTATATCCTGATGGAATGCTGTTTAGGTGCTTGGCTATGACGTCTGAAAACGTAGCACGTGGTCTTCTGGAGGATAGAAGGGCCAAGTGGTGGTCGGGGACACGGCTAGCATATCGAATGTGCGCTCTGAGGCAATCCACAGCTCTACATGCCCTGACCGGATGGTCTTTGGCAAGCATGATTGTGGCATAAGTAGAAGCGCATCGGGGCAGTCCTAGGCAGATACGCAGTGCCTGACCCTGCAAACTCTCCAATGAATGAGTATTGGATTTGCAAGTGTTAGTCAGTACCGGCAAGCTGTAGCACAATAGACCCAGAAATAGGGCCCTGTACAGCTGTAGCATGGAGGCCACAGAAGTTTCCCATGCTTTCTCGCACATTAATTTCATTATATGCACAATAGATAGCAGTCTCTTCTTCAAGAACACACAATGTGGGCTCCACGAAAGACTTCTGCCGATTATTATGCCCAGGAAACGATGCGTCCGTGCATATTTGACACTCTGTCCATTGATGTAAACAGGGTATGGCGTCATTGGTTTGCGTGTAAACACCATCAACACGCACTTCACAGTTGATATAGTTAGGCCTTGTTTCTGAAGGTAGGCTGTTGTGAGGGTTGCTGCCCGCTGTATTCGTGCACGCACCTGAGGGCGAGTAACTGCAGCACTCCAGAGGCAAATATCATCGGCGTATATGGATAGGCACACTGACTTTGGCAGAACTTTCACCAGACCAATGAGGGCAACATTGAACAATAGGGGGCTTAAAACACCTCCCTGAGGTACTCCGCAGTAGGTGTAATGTTCAGCAGTTGTACTCTCATATGTTTGCACAAAGAAACACCTGCCAGTTATATAATCTTTTATCCAATGAAACATTCGTCCACCAATGCCCATTGCTGCGAGAGAAGTGAGGATGGCATCGTGAGATACATTATCATATGCACCCTTCACGTCAAGAAAGAGTGCCACTGATATGCGCTTGCGACTTTTTTCTTGTTGAACAAATGTCGATAAGTCAAGCACACACTCGATGGAGGAGCGGCCCCGACGAAAGCCTGCCATGCAAGAAGGGTATTTGATGTATCGTTCCAAGTACCACTCGAGACGAAATAGAACCATTCTTTCCATCACTTTTCCGAGGCAGCTTGCGAGGGCAATAGGGCGATACGCTGTCAAGTCCTAGTATCTTCTGCACACAAAATGGTCCGGGGTCAAGTTGATTCAAAACCATCCGGAGCTGACATCGCTGTGTGTCGTAGCAAGCGCAGCTGCACAGGACGTGTTCGATGGTCTCTTCAGCTCCGCAGTAGTCGCATGTAGGAGTGTCTGCCATATTAATGCGAAAGGAGTACACCTTTGTAAATGCAACACCCAACCAAAGGCGGCATAACAGTGTCGCATCGGAGCGGGAAAGTTGTGATGGTTCCTTGTTTGATTTTTTGATTCCTTGTTTGATTTGTCGCGGTGCTTCCTTTTTTTTTATTGTGTAAGCGTTGTCATTTACACGTTGTTCTCGAGTGTTGTACGCATGTACTCAATGTGATTTGTTTTTTACGTTTCAATTGTATTTTTTGTCTTCTATACCCACTCCCCTCTATAATGCTGTATGCCCTAAGGGTACAATAAATAAAATAAAAAAATAAAATAAAAAGAGTCCAATGGTGATTTTCCCGATTTCAAAAGTGGTATTAATCGACTTATTATCCATTCTCGGGGAACACTGCCGCTGAGCCAGGAGTTGTTGAAGCATGTTAAAAGTTCTTTTCTGGCTTTTTGTCCAAGGTGTCCCAACGCACTATAAGTAATACCATCAGGACCTGGCGATGACATGCGCTTAGAAGCGACTAAAGCACCTTCCAGATCTTCCATGGTGAATGGAATGTCCATTTCTGGTAATCGCGTCTCAGGAATGATCACGGCGTCGATGCTCTCGTTCATAATATTCCCGGCAACTCTCGTGCAAAATTCTTCAGCCACCTCGAGTTCTGTTTTTCTATGATGGAGTGCCAAAGCTTTAAAAGGGTGCCATTGTTGCGGAGAGGAGCGAAGACCACGAACTTTTACACGTTGTTCTCCAGATATATGACAGCGGTCTATGAGGGTCTAGAGATTCGCAGAATGCTTTCCAGCGTTCGCTCTCCAGCTTGTAAATGCGTCGTTGAATCTTTTTCTGGAGCCTCCTTGCTTCCCTCAGATCGTAAATTGATCTTGTGCGTCTGTATCGTCGCTCAGCACGCCTTCGTATAGCTCGTAATCTTTCCAGTTCGATGTCAAACTGTGTTATTTTAGACGAAAATGGTAATTTACATTTGGACGCTTGCATAGCTTCCGCTATGGTATTTTCCAGGCTGCAGGCGAGGCCTTCTTGGCAAGCATCCTCAACACGCGATGTAAACATCAACCAGTCAGTGCCAATTACAACACCGGAAGAGAATTTTTTATGATACCATCGATCGTCACGTAGGTGGGTATGTGATCACTCCCATGAGTCTCAATATCGCAAAACCATTTAACTTTGTGAGAGAAGCACCGTGACACCAATGTCAGGTCAAGGCAACTACCATACGTGAGACCCCGCAGATACGTGGGGGTACCATCGTTCATAATGGAAAGGTCGTAATCGGAAGCGAATGTAACAATGTTCCGGCCCCTGGCATTCGTCCGTGTGCTCCCCCAAAGCATGTGATGGGCGTTGAAGTCACCGGTGATGATCCAAGGCCCATCGGTCCTCATTAGGATGTCTTTTAATCTGTCGCAGTCAAATCGCGATGACGGAGATATATATCCACCAATAAGCGTGAACGAAACTGCATTCTTCTTTACACGAAGACACACGTACTGACTGTCGTCATTTGAACTTATTGGGTGCGAAAGATAAGTCAAGTCTGTGCGAATGTAAACAATTACTTTGCTTCGTTCTTCGCAAGCGGCTGAACAAAAAGCTTCATAACCGGACAATCTATAAGCCGTTGATACGTTTGGTTCACATATGACAAGTATAGGGAATTGATTGGCCCGGACAAATTGGCGAAAGTCCGAGATACGGGACTTCATGCCTCTGGCATTCCACTGAAAAATCGACGCACTTTCAACTTCAGTGCGAAAGATGAGATTTTGTTGAGCCATTGTGCTTATACGAAGTTAGCAAGCATTGGATTCAGTGCATCCAGTATTTGCAGTGCACTCTTAGCAGACGGAGAGTCTACCATTGGAGATGCGTACAAACTGGCCAGCATCAAGCACTGATTTAGCTCAATATGTGAGGAACAGGGAAAAACAATAAATCAAGATTTAATTGAAGAAACGAAAAAAAAGATGACGTGCTTATGTGTGCTTGTGAACCTTATAGTGTAAAATCAACTCTGGCGAGTGAAATGTTCATTGCCATGCAAGTTTGACGATTTTTTTTTCGGGTTCTGTTTGATTAGTACACTTGTGATTTCAACCTATGGTAACTACTTTTTTGTTTATTTCCGCGGTGCAAGGAGGGATGAAGCCGTCGATGTGCTATATACCTCAGTATTTCCACAGGAAGCAAGTTACAATAGAACAGAGCTTATTAAAACGAGCTTGGCAAGAGAACAGAAATTAACAAACAATGCTAACTCATCTATTTTGCTTGTTTTTTCACGGTTTACAATTTCTGATCATTTCGCGCTATGCGCGTATAAGACTCTAAGTGACAAATTAATAACATACAACACGGAGAGATTGTTCTACGCAAAACGTTTCTTCTTGAAATATGTCTTTCATGACTCTGTTAATCTTGCTGGGGCTTTTGAGATCGGGTTGTATTTTAAAACTTACCAAATGTAGCGCCGAAGAGTGCTAGCAAATTTAGAGCCTTCATCTTGTGACCACGAAAGCTTTCGGGAAGAGTGTTTGACACAATGAAAGCTCGGAGCATCTTGTAGAGGCTTTCGTGGCTGTCACCTTATCGTCAAGAGCTGTAGGCCACATGGGGAAGCAAGGGCGTTATCACGACTTGCGACGCCACAAAAGTGGTGATCCTGACAGCAGTTTTGCAGTCGTGTTGTGTGGCATCTTGACCAGAAAATGTATGAAAAAAGACAACACGTTTTTTATGGAGTAATGTTCGGTACCACAGAGATGTAACACTGCGCGAATAACGACATTAAGATGGCTATTGCGCGGGTTACTTACTTACTTACACACACACACACACACACACACACACACACACACACACACACACACACACACACACACACACACACACACACACACACACACACACACACACACACACACACACACACGCACACGCACACACACACACACACACACACACACACACACACACACACACACACACACACACACACACACACACACACACACACACACACACACACACACACACACACACACACACACACACACACACACACGTAAGCGTCTAACGCACACTTCGTGCTCTGTTTGCATGACTATATATAGATATTCACAAGTCACTGTAGTAGTATAGTTGCGCTCTAATATTGTTATATTTGTAATTTTTGAGATACACTTAATTTAGGGACATGCATTCAAGAGGAATGGTTAAGGGGACGAGTTGCTTTGTATTAATGTCTTCAAGAAAACGGCGCATAGAGAACGAAGGCAGAAGCGAGAAAAGACCCCCCCCCCCCCCTTCCGGTGCATTCAACACTGAACTTTTATTTCGAAGAAGCCTGAACTTGTGCATATGTACCCACCACTGTGGTCGAGTGGCTAAGGCACTAAGCTGCTGACCCGCAGGTCGCGGGATCGAATCCCGGCCGTGGAGGCCGCATTTTCGATGGAGGCAAAAATGTTTGGGGCCCGTGTGCTTAGCTTTAATTACACGTGGATATATCCGGAGCCCACCACTACGGCTTCTCTAATAACCATATAATAGTTTTGGGACGTTAAACCCCCGTAAATATTTCGTATACGTTTGTAGATTCTGGTGTCAGCCAACGCTCAGTGGTTACACAGAGAAAAATTATCTTTTATTGGGGAACGTACCGTCTAAATAACCAGGGTCTCGAAGCTGATCTCTTTTTACGTGCGCGAGATTTTTTTTTCTAACTAACCTTCATTTTTTGTGTGTGTGGCAGCTTGTGTATTCCCCATGTTTTTGTCTTCGTTTTGTGTGAGCCTATTTAGCTAAAGAAATGTTGAGTCAATGTGATAGCCACATTTTCTGAAAATTGTCCGACACGAAGCAAAACGCTGCGTTTTCAAACTTTAACTGAAATTGGTGATGGGAGAGGCTGTTTGCATACTTCGTTCCTTTCGCGTGCGCTCGTGCACAGTCTCTAATAAGGCACACCCCCCTTGAGAAAATGCGGTTTTTCTTGCACGGTTGTCGTTGCAACTGCGTGCGCGTCGTGGATTGCGTAAATGTGAAGAGGCTCGTATGCGAGCGCTAGGCTCACTCTGTTGTACCGTGGTAGAGAGTAGAAACTTGCTTGAAACGTTGTCTAAGCTGGTTTTTTTTTGTCTATAACAGGGCGGCACGTGCAGAAGTGGTTAGGCACGCGGAACCTGAAGTCAGCGCGTAGGTGTCGAGCGTGCTGCTGACTGCGTAACTTGTCTTATCTAGAAACCTTATGACTGCGACACGGCGCACTTTCTTTCTAATGATTCTCAATAAAACAAGACCATTCGTCGCACGCGAACGCAACGCGTAGTTATTATTTAATGGCTTGTATGGAGTACCGATTCACAACCACAGACACCGTTTACCCGTAGCCACATTTCGCGTTTTCTAATCCGCGTCGCCTAAAATGACACAACTCATAGGCACACTTCTGCATTCGCCTAAGATGACTCGAAGCCGAAAGCCATATTTAAGAGTTGAAGTCCCTTGAGACCGCACGATGTCCGTAATCCGCCATCCGGCGTCTACAGCAGATGTAGTGCAGGTGCATTCGAACAAACTGAAACATCTATGAGAAACAAGAAGGTTATCAGAACGATGTTAACCAGGAGAAAGAAAATACGAGTCCACAAAACCGTAAAAGATCGACATTAAACAACCGATCAATCAAAGCATAACAAAGACAGAACAAGAGGTTAACAAGAACAATATAAAAGGCTGTCAACCAGAAAAATATAGAGGGACATGATTCTCGATGTAATGCACACTGCTTCACCCCATCATCAGCACTGACTTCGTAGATGTGCGTGGATTTGTTTTCCTTCTAATCCGACGTTCTTTTCACTATCGCGCTCACTTATGAAGCTTCACAAATGCACCTTATGTCTTTCACATCTTCTCTCTTTCATGGTAGCCTTGGTTTGAGGGGGGGGGGGAGTGAGGTTAGTGTAGCTCTCTGGTATAGGTCATTTGAAGTACTGCATCATGATACCAAGAAGCGCCGACAGGAAGCGCTTGGATATTTTTGGCGTTCAGTGGACTGAGAGAAAGGCCAGCGGGAAACGAGACGCTGTTCCTCGTTCAATGCTCAGCTACGAACTCTACCTCTCGTTCGTCTGAAGAGTTTCGTGGTGTACGTATTAGTACATTACCCTGTTAAGCAATGACGATGATGTAATGTGGTGATGTCATCATGTGATGTCACAAAATTCGCAGAGACCTAGGTTACCGTGTTACTGGGAAGCGCACTGCTTCGCTTTCCCCTCCTGAAATGACGGTGCCTTGAAGAAGTATAAATATTGAGTACAAGTGTTATGTGCTTGTTGATGTCATCTTTGCGTGCACTCAGCATGTAAAGGTGCACAGGTGTACGTTGGCAGCTTCACCTTCTGCAAATGTAAAATCGTGATCGTGGACGGTAGCCACCGTATTGAAGATGTACCGACTAGGCGTCAATGAGGGGGGGGAGGGGGACCGCCGTCAAACGGTCACGGTGCTACGGCTGCGAAACACCTATGGACATTGGTCAATCTTTCATATATTAATGTAAAATAAACAGCTATACTAATGTGGAAACACGCTTTGATTTATTGCTATCACCGGTTCCTCTGATGAAAGGGTCAACCACATTTGCCCCCCAAGTCGCACGTATCTGTTAACCTGTCATTTTAATCGGCCGATGTTGCTCAGCAGGAGGTGAATGCGCTATTTTTGGTAGCGTTGCTGATGGCCTTGGCTGGCTCTGGGCTAGCACAGACTAACTTTGGACTACAGTCAGTAAATACTGGCTATTACAGGCTTATGTTGTTGGCTGTCGTTTATTGTTAGCATTTGTTGGCTGGCTAGTAGTGACTAACTATTCCTAATTTTGGCGAGTGTTGGCGGGTAAATTTCGCATACTGGTGGCTTACAGTGATTGCAGTCGTGTAGTGTTTTGTGTGTGCATTCATGCCACAGCGATAAAAAACTCAGCTGCCCTTTTTCTACCACCAAAATGGGGCCAACCGAAGCTTGGAGTGCACATGCGAATACCTGAAGCACTCCTTTTTTCATTTTTGCTTCGCATTACTGACTACTCTCACCTTCTATGCTCAGAATTGGGCAGTTGAACCTGCGGTTGCCGCAGGCAATAACGGTCGTGCACTCGTATCCAGGTTACAGTTGAGTTTGGTGACATGGACAGATAATTGACCTCGACAAAGAATTGAGATCACCACGTAAGAAGGAATTACTGGCTGAGTAGCTCACGATGAACATAGACTCAGTAATTAGAAAACGGAGTCTAGAGGTGCGTCCAGTGGGAGTAGCACATTCGAGGGCCTGCACTGGTGCACACTCGCCTGCGTGGCTTTTACGCCTACGACGCTGGCGCCCCCGACATTCGTAACTCATAGCAGGCTTCGCTTCAATGCTGCATATGTTCTACAATGACTACCAGTTCAGAGAAGCGCACCTTGACCTAATAGGAGTGTGCCAGCATGACGTCCACGCCAGCTTGCCGTTGCGTATATCTTCTTTGGTTAATAAAAGCGATGGTTTTTCAGTAGCTTTCATCTGAATGGGAATAAGTGAGAAATAAAAACAGAACAGCAGTAGCGCTTGCAAATATGAAAAGGTCTAAACAATTAAAAGTGACGTTTCGGCTACCGAGTGGTTGCCTTGCTCACCTGTCAAGCGCGACGTCCCGCTATAATATGCCCTACAGATACTATATTGCAGTCATGACAGCATCACAAACATAACAACTGAACTTAGAGAGAAACGGTGTTCTGCCTCGAGACACTTATTCAAGGCTGAATATTACGGTATAGGCAGCTCCTTGTCGATGTTCCGCATTGCGCCGAAGGCCGCAGTGAATGACACCTGCGGTAATGCAGTGTAAAGAGCGAAAATAGTACTAAACAAGCGAGGTAGACACATTATTCGTTGACAAGTTGCGGAACGTACGTCTACCTTTTTCGCTCATGCTGTTTTGCGCATGTAGTTCTCACTTAGTCTGCGATTCATAAGACGTGTTTCAGCTTTTTTACGTGGCTAATCATTATTCCTTTAGGATTTGCAGATGAACCAGTTTCATAGATGTAGTTGTCGGTACTAAGTACAACCGCACGCGCCATGCTTGTGTATTTGTTATGATGCTCGGCTGATGGTACGAAGATCACGGGATCAAATCGCTCCATAAGTGGCGGAATGTGCATGAAGGCGAAGTGGTTCAGTGTATTGCATATTGATTGATTTGTGGGGTTGAACGTCCCAAAACCACCATATGATTATGAGAGACGCCGTAGTGGAGGACTCAGGAAATTTTGACCACCTGGGGTTCTTTAACGTGCACCCCAATCTGAGCGCACGGGCCTACAACATTTCCGCCTCCATCGGAAATGCAGCCGCCGCAGCCGGTATTTGAACCTGCGACCTGCGGGTCAGCAGCCGAGTAACCTTAGCCACTAGACCACCGCGGCGGGGCAGTGTATTGCATATAGGCGCACGTTAAAGAGCGTCGGATGATTCGAACTTCTGGAGCCCTCCAAAACTGGCGCCCCTAATAATCATCGCTGTTTTAGAATGTAAAACCACAACTTTTCTATAGATTCTAGCACATTTTTTTCGCGATTATATCAAGGAATCTTAAACCTAGCACAAAAATAACCGCAAATCTCTAATGGGAGCTGCTGAGGACCTATAGGTTTTAGTATAGACGAAATTACAGCAGCCAGATGCAGTGCCAATTGGATTTTTAAATACCGGCTATTTCGTAGAAACGGTTTCCTTGTTTATCGATACGCAGTGGAACATCCCGCATTCAGTTCGAGCAGATGATGAGAAATGACGAAACAGATGCGGAGAAAGAAGGCTTTACTTTCTAATATACAGGATGACCTCTGAGTTGAGCTCGTTTTCTAGATGCTTCGCGTCCGTAATGCACTTTAGCTCGTGATACTCGGCTAGATTGTACCAATGTGCTCATTATTCTTCTGATATGCTTTATTGCATGCTCACCATTACAGGTATCAATTGGCGTGAAAAATGTATTTCACACAATGGTAACTTTACTACGCCGAAGTAGCTTCCTGAATGCTGATAACCGTTAAATGTGGTCCCGAATCGAACGACACTTGACGCTGCTTCTTGCACGTTCCCGTACTTCTTTCTTAGATAATACCAAGTGCGTATTTAGGAATTTGTAACACCTATAATTGTATTGTTCAACCAGCGTGAACAAATTTTACTCTAATGATGTGCTGTTGTATAGTAGGGCTAGTTGGGGGCTCATGACATTAACAACCCCGCTAACATAGTAGTGGAGGGCGAGCAAGAAACATATACGGTGAGAGGAGCGTTGGCAGCGCACTTCAATTTTATGCGTTGCAAGTAAACGTCGCAAGTAAATAACTGATTGTTATTGCTCGTGTCGCTGTGTATGTTTTCTTCTAGCCCTGGGCTGATATGTACCGGTTGTTGGTGTTGCCGTCATATAATTGTTATGGCTAGATGTAGTGTACACAGCATGCGCTCTTTAATTTTCTTTTTGTTTCGCACATTCATCGGTATTTTCTTGCGGCCATCTTCCAACCAGCCATTACACAAAATACCTTTGCGTAGTATTCATTTTCGCGCTTTTTGCCACACTATATCGAGTTTTACAACAATGCAGACCATACTCCGTGCGCACTTGCGCCAGTGTTTGATTTCAACGTTTGACTGTCTGATGTAGAAAGTGGCTTTTATTTCAGTGTTTTTGTTCTGATTAGTCCAGCGTGTGCTCGTGTTTATAGGAGGGGCGAGGGGAGGGGCCATATCAGCCACAAAAAATCTCATTGGAGAAGTTTTATTTTTTGTTTAGGCACGGGGAATGACGCCAAAGACAGTCATGCATTTCTTCTGGCACGCGTCGTAGGTGAGGAAGTTGTTGGCGTTGCCTCCGCATCCTCCGTAGACGAACTGCTCGCACGTATTGGTCAGCGTGTTGAAGAAGAAGCGAGGCATGTACGCCTTGCAGGGTCCCACGTCAGGCGGATAGGTACATACTTCAGGTGGCGCCACTGTAGAAGAACGAGGTTATTCTATTAGTACCACGTTGCAAAGCAGAAATGTCGCTCTATCCAAGTCAGCCGCTGTGGCTCAGTACCTATTGTGTACTGATAAGCAGGCCGTCTTCCTTTGCACTCCCGATATAAAAAGGCCACATATACTGATTGGTGCGAAGACAAGAGGCTCTCGCAGAATTAAAGATAGCGACATGTTAAAGTGATCTCCGCGTTTGCAAAATATTCCCAGAGTTACTCCCATGATCGCACGTGTTTAGCGTTGTATTGCGAATTATGACGTGGGCACGATGAATTCACACAATATTTATCTAAGCTAGCTAAGCTCAAAACACACGTGGTGGCAGATATTCGTCCATATTGCCATTTTGTTGCGACGTCGGTCGTTAGCGTCACAACTGCAAGTCATCGTGCTGACTGAGTACCGGGCCGTAATTAGACCGAAAGAAGCGAGCAGTGCTGGATACTAAGAATGCCGTCCACAAAAATCAGTTGTGAATATCCTCTTTCGCAAATCAGTTCTGCAATACCGATGGATTTACAAGGCTACACCCATGCACCGTCCGATGTCAGTAGGCGCTGAAAAGCATCCTGATGGTAGAAAGTTCCCGAGCCGTCCACTATACGGTGCCCCTCATAATTACATGTTGGTTTTCTGCGTAAAAGCCTAGAGATCATTATTTCTGCGGGGCCGAACAGTGTGGCGAAAGCGTAAAAGATGAGGGTTACTCATAACTACCGCAATGAAGGCCGTACGAGTTTATCAGAGACAAAGTTTGCTACTTAAAAAAAAACAATTGTCTTAAACCATATATTGAATATGGGGCAGACAGCTTTCCGAAGCGGTCACTCTTCCAGTTAAATAACCAGTGCGATTACAATAGGTAGGGTAAAAGTGGATTCGTCAACGAGTTTAAGGACATGGACACCAAGTTCTTCAAAAACTCACGTGGTGATTTAAGGGTTAAGAAAAGTAAAATGGCGAGTGGCAGCTTTTCGGGAAGAAGAACAATACGAATGGAAGAAAGGTAGGGAGGCCAACCAGGGGTAAGTCGCGGTAACCTATATTGTATTAGACAAGGGTAATCGAAAAATATACAGAAGGAGAGGAAGGTCACTGTTTTGGCCAACGGAACAATTCCAAGTTTAGTTGTTTGGTGAATCACACGCGGTGAATCACTGGAACCCGGACCCACGTACGACGACGGGTCCTGGTCCGAAAATTCTAAAGCGCCAATTGGCTCTCCACGTGAAATGTTCCTCGTCTCCCATTTGACCTGATAAGCGTTTTCCAAAGGCAATTTCATCATCATCATCAGCCAGAGTACGCCTTCTGCAGTCCTGGGCTTGTGCTATACTTCTCCTGCATCCAGTTCGGTGCTTGCAGCTGCAACTTCATACCCGCGAAATTCCTAATCTCATCTGCCCCACCGAACTTTCTTTCGGCTCTGATGCAGATGAATTCTCTTGAAATCTAATGTGGTACTCCTAATGACCAGCGGTTATTTTTACAACGAGTTGCATGCCTAGTTCATGTTTATTTCGTGATTTAGATAAGATGCCCTTACCACCCGTTTGTTCCCCAATACACTTTGCTGTTTTTTGTGGCTTAAGATTACATCTATATATTTTTCTTTGCATGACTCACTGCGTCGTCCTCAGTTTAAGTCGAACCCTCTTCGTAAGCCTCCAGGTTTCTGCTCCGTTGGTAAGTACCAGTAACGTGGCAGCTGTCATGCGATTTTCTCTTGGCAAACTAGAATTCATCATTTGACGGTGCCTGCCAAATGCGCCGCACCAAATTGTCAAGATGAAAATGCTGTTATGCTCTGATGGCAAAAAAACAAACAAACTGTGAGATTACATTGTATTGTGCGCACACGCGGGCATCACCTATAATGTAGAAGTGTTGGTCAAAGTGCGAGGTGGGGACCATATTATCGTGAGTTCTCGAATTCGCCTGGAATAGAAGGAGTAACGGCAAAAACTGCTGTGCGAGAAGCCAAATAATGAGTTACCGTTGAAAGGGAAGGTAGGCGAATGTGGAATTTTGCTCCACAACAGGTATTTGGCTCTAACCGCGGAAGTCGACTGTGGTGTTGGCGTAATGAACAATATTATAACAAGTATCATTATGAAGCGTGCAGTAAAAGTAGGATATACAGTCACTGGACAGGACACTAGCAAACTCTCCCAGGAAAAAAAAACTTTAATAAACAACGTCAAAGCATGGAAGCCTCCAATCCAACTAATAAGTTGAAACTGGCAGAGCCTTCGCACTTATTCTGTAGGTGTTAGGTAGCTGACATAAAAAGGTATGATGCGCAGAGACTCGACCATGCTTTAAAAAAGAACGAAGTCTCAAAGCCGTGAAAAGTGGTCAAAAGCAAAAAAGCATATGTATACAAAATACTACCACATATGTGCAACGCGCTGTCAAAACCAAAGAAAAAGTTGATTGAGGGACTGATATTTCTGTATCAGTGCAGCAATTTGCTTGTGCATTCATGTGAATAGCTATGCTGTCACAGAAAACTATAATTAAGAAGGTAGAGAGCAAATATTCTGTTCCCCTCATTGATGGCGATCTTCGAACACATATCCTGAAACACCCTGTATACCCGACACCTGAAGTACCATAGGGTAGGCTATACTCTCCGGCGATCTCATACAATTTACTATTTATCTACCAGCCTTGGTACGAAGTAACCACGTGCTCTACAATGGTAATCATTGCTTTTTCAACTACTGGCTGCTGCAATAAAGTTCTACAGAACAAACTAAAGTGCGGTATATCAGCTCTAGTAACGTTGGTACTTACCGGGCCAAAATGGAACTTCGACAGCGCTGACTATTTTTTGAGTAGGCTCGTAGGCTCGCACTGCGTTGACGTAGAAAAAAATTGCAATCAACCCTCGGTAAAGCAGTTCATTTTACCACGAAGGTTGCTTCGTTATATTTGATAATTAGTCATAAGTGCATATTCGTAACACTCTTTTATGGCAACGCTACTTCTAATGTATTTCCTTGGAAATGATTGTTCGTTATATACATATTAATTATATACAGTTAAAAAAGCTTTTACTGCGATGCCTTTTGCATTAACGAAAGAGGGCCTCTTAACAAATGAGCAGCTAACTGCGCCCGCAGCGCCCGCTTTTTTTAGTGGATTCCTTACGTGATCATGATATTGTTTTCATCCTCACGATGCACATCACGTGTCTACGGGGTTAAAGTTGTATCGGGGCCACTGCTTCAGTAGAAAGTGGTCGCGCACGCCGCCATGGCGCCACTAATGCACTGAAAAACCGGTTACGCCGACAGCAAACTGATAGGGCCATATCGACGAAAAAAAAAATGTATCATACTTAGAAGCTGGTAGTCGCGCGAGCGAATCTTTGGAGGATTAGTTGTAAAGTCGATCGGGAAACAGCTTAATCATAGAGTATCATTTAACAACGAGGCAGCCATTCATTCTGCACTAAATGAAAAAGCTTATGTTTTGTGCCTTTCTAATAATAGTTTGTCTTTCGTACAATAAGGTCCTACAAGGACTCTTTGCGCAATTTACGTTGCACCGGTTGCACATCCACATTTACTTATCTCGCAACTAGGACAGGCAAAACAGTTTCGAGTGTTGATAACCTGCAGGCACTTTTCGAAAGGTTGTCGCTTGCTCTGCTCTTGAACGTCACTCTATGGGGAAATCGCTCACCCCAGCATCTGTTCATGCACTCGTCGACGCTCTCGAAGTTGTTGCCGTTGGCCTGGCATCCTCCGAAGACGAACTGCTCGCAATTCTTGCTCGCGTTGTTAAAGTAGTAACGAGGGAAGTGTCCGGCACAGGGTCCAGGGTACTTCGGTTCGTCACACCCCGGGTAAACTTCCACTGCGTGAACCTAACATGGCTCAAGTTGCGACAAAGTAGAGATGATGCTTGCCTGTGTGTACGATTATGGCAATTTTCTTTGTCTATGTGCAACTAACAGAATTGAAATGAAACAATTGAAGCGCATTTTACGTACCTGCTTCCCTGGAGAGGACCGGGTTGTCACGAATAACGTCCTCCAAAGCAACTGTAATTACGCCGATGTCACATTATCAGAAAGAGCATGTCGTTAGCATCGAATGTCGATGTCGATTTGCATGAGCATCTAGAATTTAGACATGCGTCCACGAAAGAACTGTCGAGTGGATTTGAGTAAATCGTGTTAGAATTTCTACAAAGATTTGGTAAGTTGATTCTTGGAAGCGAATGAATTATTTAGAGTAGCATTCGGGAAGCAATTTACGAAAAACGTACGTGAAGAATTTAAGAAAATACACGAACCTCTGAAATGTGTAACTCTGCACGAGCATAGAGCCATCATAGACTAGTGAATATCATTGATTTATGTGAGTGTTATACACACTAAATAACAACAAGAAATATAATGGGAAGGGTATGTACTTGAACACAATCGTGAGTTGGGTAAGTTGTGGCATATTCATCGTCTCTAACCCGTTGTACTCTAAAAATATTCTATGATAGTACGTTGTACTTGTTTGTCTTTCTTTCATCAAAAAAGCATAGCAGCACAATTTAGAATGCATATTATATGTCTAACATTGTGTACAACGTTAAGAACTTTCGTAAACGAATTCTACTCTTCTGTAAATTTTCATTTTGTTAAGCACGAGGAAATTGCGAACGTATTATTTCTCAAATTAGTGCTACGTTTTCAAGCGAGGCATAATAGAGCCATTTTGTGCCCCTAAAGAAAATGATAGAGAAACTGGCACTCAATAAATAACCCAATTTTGCTGTGAGCAAATGCAGCACCACTACGTGTTTCAGTGCTAATAGCATAACCATCAACAATCATCATAAAATGGGTGGTGTTACCTCGAAAGTTTATTGTAAATATAGAATTATTTTGAACATTTTGCACGATTTGCGTTTTTATCTCATGGCTATTCATGCCGCCACACTTGAAACCGAAGAGTTTGTTGGTGCTGCATGCGTCTTTCACGACCTTGGCCTATTCATTCTGGAGGACTGCGAAAGAAAGGGAATGTGCGTTCGTCACACATAGGAAGAGAGAGAGAGAGAGAACAACAGACTGATAGGCAGGAAAGTTAAGTCAGTAGAAAACCGGTTTGCTACTTTGTACAGTTTCGACAAATTAGGGATAGGAATTAGAGAAATCTTGGAATGCTGAATCTCAAAACCACAATATGATAGTCATGGTTGTTGTTGTAATAGACAGCTCCGGTAATTTTGAACATCTGGTGCTTTGTGACTTGCTCCTGAATCTATGTAAGCGAAACTATAGCGTTATTTTCACCTCTATCAAGATGTGGCACCGTGGTAGGGATTCGATTCTGCGACCTTTAGGTCAGTAGTCAAGCACCACAAACACTCGACCATCGTGGCGAATCAGGAAGAATGTAGATGAACAAAAATGTGGCGATACTTTGAAATGTACCAGGAAGAATGTAGATGAACAAAAATGGGGCGATACTTTGCCATGTACCAGAAAGAATATGTAGATGAACAAAAATGGCGCGATACTTTGCCATGTACCAGTGCATATTTACGACGCATAAGAATGACGGCCGGCGATTTAAGAGTGAGAATCTTCTTTCAGCAATAACTGGGCGTGACACCGTTTTCGCAAAATGGATGGTAGGTACGTCAGTGTTTTAGAAGTTCGTTACAAGTGAAAGTGTTTCCAGAAATACATATCTATCCGAACGAATAGAGACTTCATTTTCCATCAGATTATGTCATCGCTACAACATGAACCACCAATCTATGGTGCGCACAAAAGCATCCGGTCTTTGGTGCGTGGAAGTTATTCATAACAAGAATTTACTCTAATCTGTCCAAATTTCAGCCTAAGTGAACCAGATATCAAAGGTAACATCTCGTTCACTGGAGTAGGGAGGGCTTTTCCCCGGGGTCAAAACGATCTTACCACTTCCTCCGAAACAGACGTGCGATGAACTTACCTGAAGGCCCGAATGGTAAATAAAGGTGGCAAGGGTCTCTAGGGTTGGACGGGTCGCATATCGCACGGAGTGGTCCTAAGAAGTAGTATAATTGAATGGAACTTTCAGTAAAATGAAGACTATACCACCACCACCACCAGCACCACGAAGTGCACTCAATTTCCAATTTGTCATGTCTTAGTGAAATTTCTCTTTCTGGACAGCTGGATACAGTGAAATATTAAATGAAACCGCACTGGAAACGCCTATATTTTGTACAAGATCTCTACGTTTTCATACCATACCTACACTGTTGAGTACAGGACATATGTACAGGTAAATAATGCAAATATATGACCTATAAGGGCTCCTATACCGATATGAAGGTATACAGGACCAATATAGACCGATGAAGTGCTCATACAGTGCTGTATAGAAATATGTACACACTTGGATCTGTGAATGGTCGGTATAGTAGCGTACAGTACCGATAAGCCCGACCATGGGGCCTATGTAGGACCTATTAAATCAGAACCTAGACCCTACGTAAGACTACCTTGACCATTTAGCACTTAAATAACACGAGTTTAATTTCTCAGCTCTTACTTTCTTGTGTAATGAATGAAATAAGACTAGACGCTTTAGTTCGTGCTCACTGCTTATGATGACGTGCCGCTTTGGTAATTACGTAAATTTCAACCCCTTGGTTTGACTTCTGGCGAAAGCAACAAACTTTCTCCACTTACCAGGCTTCATGATATGTTTCTTCCAAGATTGGTCTTCGACGGTGTAGTTACCTGTATTAGAAACAAGGAGTGTTTTACGATTACGTTTCTCAGAGGGGTGTGCAATATTCCAAAACTTCGATAAACAAATCGAACAGCATTTTGTTCAATTCGCTACCTAAATAGAATAGCTCATATTCAAATTCCAAATAATTTTCGAGTACTTTTAGAATGATTGGCTAGCGACAAGAAAAGCCGCAAAGCACTAACACGTTAAAAGAGCAGAGTCATTCTTTATTTGATTAGTGAAGCTACCAGTATAGTTACATTCAATGTTTTCATGGGTCTATCAAAAATTTATTCGTAAACTAATGAACGACTTTTTGCTTTAAACTCCAGTGTTGCAGAAGCGAATGTATCTTCAATGCATTGTTATTCAAACAAAATTGATGACGTTCCCTGATGAAATATTATTTAACTTCAGGTCTTAATTTTACTCAAACGCTTTCGACAAAGTACGAAGCCACTGTATTAACCTATAGAGGTATAAAAAGGCCTGAAATGCTGTAGTTACGACTAAGTACGAGCTTAGTTTAGCTTACATATTTGCGATATCTTTTTTGGGTTAAATGTGACGACGCGGTCCCTTTGTTCGTGAATATTTGTCTGAAAAAGGGTCGTACATTTCTACGCTTGTCTTGAGAATGGTGGCTGCCTTAGTATTCGAAAGCTATTGGCAATATGTTCATATTCATATTCGATACGGTGTGATCACTATTCGATTCGTATTTGATTTGGTTCTGCATTTCACCACTCGGAAAATTCTATAGTTTCTCAGTTTTCGGACGGCTACACCCAAAGCGAAATTTCGCCAATGAAGGTACAACTACACAGATAATTGGTTCGCGATCCTCGGTCATATTTGACTCCTCTTATTTCTCACTTTTCTCATCTTTTATTAAAAAAACTTTCGCAATATATACCACTTGAGATACCACTTGTGCCGCCTACATGGAATACCATCCCGTAAGGTGAGATCATAAAGTATTCTCGTTCGAAAGTTTCCACCGTTAGACACTTTTGTGATTGCTTGCCCAGATTAAAAACGGGTGAAGGATGCGAAAACTTCCGGCTCATTTTCGCTAGTCTCTCATTCAGTTCCTTGACTGTACCGTGTGATTGCCATAAAATGAAAGAGCGTATTTATAATATTAACAATTGATATTTAGTGAAGTAATAATTTTGCGACAATGCAGAAGTGTTCCTTGAAAGTTTGTCTGCTATGACCGACGTTTATGTAACCGAACTTTATTAGGAAATGAACGTTCATCTGACAAAAACTTGTTGCACGTTTTTCAGTGTTTCTGAGCAGTGTTCTGGAATGGCGCACCGCTCAATTGTATATATTCATTAAACAGTAGATATCCTTGGAATTATTCTGCTGTGAGGCTAACAACCTCCTGGAACCAATACATAGACGGATGTAGTGTATTGCGTCAGTGCCTTTTAGGTATGAAGGCCTTATCGAATCATACATTGAGAACACTCACCACCACACTTGGTCTCGCATTGATTGAGCGTTGGGAAGTTGTTGGCGTTGCCCTGGCATCCCCCGTACACAAACTCTTCGCAAGTGTCCGTGGTCGTGTTGTAGTAGTAACGGGGAATGTGACCACGGCACGGGCCGACCTTCTTTGGCAGCTCACAGACTGGGTCGAGGACCGCTGTGAATTTCGGACAACAAAAACGTCGTGGACGCTTGTTAACCAATGTTGCACCAGTAACGATGCATGCTGTTTCCTTCGTACGTCTCACGTGAAAGACCCTGTGAACATAGGTCGGGAATACTTGTGTAGCTTCCTCAGGCTTGCTCGTGAAAAATGTTTCACCGAGGACGCACTCAGACTCCAACTCACCGAAGTTTTTCTGAGCCGCTCTCACTCGGATTCACACTCGCGAAAATTTTCTTCAACTGGACTTACTCGGACGCGGACCGAAACATTACTCACCCGGTCTCATTGAGACTCAAGCTAACTGCTCGATGTGAGCTCAGTAAGCCTGTGTAAGTCAACGCACGAGTGAGTTCGCCGACCTGGGCCCGCAAGTACTTTCTTTAATGTCCTGAAGACAAAGCTCTTAATGCGGTGTTGATGTACTTACACAAAACATCCTTACATAGATTTGCTTTTTTTTTCTGAAATAAAGGTGTATGCTTTATACAAAAAGGATGTCACGGCTAATTGTGCGCGCGAAATCCATGCTGCGCTCAGTTTAGGTTTTTTTCCTTTTGTACAATTTTTTGACTTAATGAAACAAGGCAGAATTGGGTGAAAATGTGGAGTCTTGAAGAAATGAACAATCCTTCAAAGAGGGCGTTGCTGAAGCCTCCGTTCCGAAAAGTGACTTTGTCTTATTAGGAGCCGCAACTTACGCCTTAATGAAGACAGTACTGCTTCTCTAAACGTTGGTCTCAGCAGGACCTTGTGTTCACGAATTTTCAATATGTGCCACTTATGCGAGTAATATTTTTTTGTTTTACCGTGACATTTGAATACGACCCGCCGCGATAGCCCACGGAAGTTCGTCAGTGATCATAGTTCAGTCGATGCTTTTAAACGTTGAACTGAAGTGCACTAATGAAATCTCTGGAGCTTGATCTGCGGGTAACACATTACTGCGGGTAACTGCGGTATTTCTGTACGGTGTCTGCTGTAAACTATTCCGGTCGTTTACGGCCGTTCGTGGCGTACCTATTTTTGATTAGAATTGCATACCTGAAAGAAGGAGAGCTAGAGGAACTTACCTATAGTTTTGTATCTATTAGATAATGCACTAAAGTATGCATTCAAAATACATTGACAAGAATTTTACGAACGTCATTTTCCGAAGAAAAAAAATCTGCGGAAACGTAGGGCCAAAAGAATGGTCGTACTTCCTGTTTAGGTTCAAGCAATGAGGGTTGTTGCACTTGCCAAGTTTGGTGATGAACTTCGACCTGATGAGCTGATCGGTAAGCGAAGCGTCTGAAATCACAAACAAAAAGAATCACAATAATTATAATTTGCCTGTTCTAGAAGAATCCTCGTAAAAATAAAGCAAAGAAACCTAGCATACTTTCTGTGCTTTGTACAAATACTTAAGCTTCAGTAGCACTTCCCGATTACTGCTGCTTAGATGAAAAATAGTGGCGCAAGTGGTGCCGATAATTCATATACGCTCTTAAGGTGTTAGTACATACGTGCCGCAAAAGAACATTGAGCGTGCCGCTTTGTGACTTGAAAGTTCGCAGAAATTTACCTCCTCATCCGGCGTCAGCAAATCACATAGCGGGTACCCAGCTATTTTAATTTTAAGCAATGCGTGCAGGCCCTGCTAGAATACCGTCCCGATCTCCCATCAGCCCGCAAAGAAGTTGAGGCACTCGTGTGAATCTTGAGACCGATGGGCCTCTGCGAGTTCCTCAGGAGGGAATCCTCCCAAATATCCTCCGACAAACCCGAATCGAATGGCCACTTCCTCGCATGTCCAGCAAGGCGGAGGCGTCAACCTATCGGTCCACAAAAGGGCAAGGCGCTTCAGGCCCATTAGCGGCGAGCTAGTTATATATACCATATATAATGGTGATACGACAATCTCGGGAATGTATCAATGTCAGAGTGTTATCTGCCTTACCAGCGCGATGGCGCGAAGGGCGCCGTTCGTTGCAGTGCGTTCGCTCGTCAGCGTGCACTTCGCTATACGGGGCGTAGTCGCCTGTGCGCTCCTGCGCTTATCTCATGATGCGGGCAGTTAGTACGTTGTTGGCTTTCGCTGGAAAGATTGAGTTTAGGTTACAGAGCACACACCTTAAGTCACTTGGCTGGCTGCAGAGCGAAATGAGCGTGCTGTTCAAACAAAGTGAAGTAATTTCGAAGACGCTTGTTAGTTCGCGATATCTGGTGTATACCCGTACGTACGTTTCGTGCGTTTTAGGGGCGAAGCTCCTTATGGCGTGGCTTGTGCGTCTCTCGTAGTACGTGACCACCAGTGGCACATACCCGAAATAGGTATAACATTTGACCTCCAAGGTGGTGCCGGTGAGAGATTTCTTTGGTGCATTGTTTAACAATAAAAAATAGTGCTCAATGTACATGCCAATGGCTGCTAATGGGGAATGAGAGACAGGAGCATTCGGCTTTTAGTCAACGCGCACGCTGCGATCACTCATGAGCAGCCATTGGCATGTACATTGAGCACTATCGGACAAGAAAGGGTTGCTACATTATACTCGCTGAGTGTAACCTCCTTAGTTTTAGAAAGGTTTAGCGAGCGTTGAGCCGCAGGGCCATGAATACAATGAACTAGTATATACCATGAATGAATTCGAGGTGATTAAAGGGGGGAAGCAGATACGAAGCGCAAGCCGTAAGAAATTAAAAGCTGAATCCTCCTGTCTCTCGTTTCACGTTAGCAGCCACTGGCATGTACATTGACCACTATCTGACAGGAAAAGGTTGCTACGTTATACTCGCTGGGCGTAACCTCCTTGGTTTTAGAAAGGTTTAGCGGGCATTGGGCCGCAGTGCCATGAATACAGTGAATTAGTATATACCATGAAGTCAAGGTGGTTGAAGGTGGGAAGTAGACCCAAAGCGCAAGCCGTAAGAAAGTGTGCGTGTGCCACCTCTCGTATGGTCCTTGGAATGTCCACTGAATGGCGGTGCTTCTATATGGGGAATATATGATAAAAAGATGCGAGATGGGGGGACTTGGAGTGTTGAATAGATCGACGAAGGGACACACAGACAGATGCATGGATGGACGCATGAAAGGACGCAGGGGCGGATGCATGAACAAACGCAGGGACGGGCGCATGAACAGATGCATGGACGGTCACACAGACGGACGCATGGGCGGACGATTGCTTCGCCCCACTCTTCATCATTCACTCCGTGGATATGGTGCCATTTTTGTTGCACTGGATCAAACCACTTCATCTAACCAGTCGGCTGCAGATTCAACATGGCGGCAAAGGCGTCGGTGGTGGGTCGCATCAGCTCAATTCACAAAGTTCCCGTGCAGCACGCCGATATCTGACAGCCTCATCGAGGAATGGTTCAGCGAGAGGCTGGTTTAGATCATGATCGCTGAGAACTCCGGAATTAGGCGGTGCAGCAGCAGCGAGTCGGCATTCCCTAACGTGCCTCGCGTTTGTGCACGACCAGCTGAATCCGCTGCCGCTACAGCTGGTGCGATCGCACGTGTATTTTCTGCTGGCTTAGTCTCAAAAGAACGCTCAAAAAGCTGCGAGCTGTTGCCTTTCACTACTTTGCGTGAATAACTAGAATTCGTTACAAAATATAGGGCTCAGAAAGAAGGTAAAATTGAATTATTTTGTCCTCGAGGAGCACGTTGAGTGTCGAGGTGTGAACGCTGTTCGCGCATATGCTGTGTTGTTTTTGTGCGTCCTTGTTCTTGAGCAGTGCGCTGCACGTCTCGATCTGCTTGTCGTTCTTTGCGTGACATTTCAATTAGTTGAAATCACATTCATTGTATCGCCGTCGCGTTACACTGACATTCTTTTCTGTATCTCTCTCTCTCCTTCTACCTTTCTCTCTCTCATGCATCTATATATTCCCAATCTTTCTCTGAATGTTAGCCGACCCCACGCCTATCTGGTCAATCTCTCCACATTTTGACTTTCTTATTTGTGCCTGCTTCATCCTCATCATAACCATCATCATCATCACCACCGTGAGTTAGGTGAGCGTAAAGGGGCCTGTCGGTGCATCACATAAGGTGCTTTGATAGGCAGTAAATAGCATGTTGCAAGCTAGAAAATACAGAAACAAAGAGGCAGACTTGTAGTACAAATGTACAAGCAAAAATAACTTGTGATCAGGAAACATACTCACACATAATATACTCATACAAAAGATAAAGCAGAGCAATGCAAGAAGAGTGTTAATGTGTCTCCAAGTATTGGTGAGTCGTTGAAAGCTGTTTGAATTCACTAAATTGCTTCCCCTCTGTTATGTAACAAAGAGAAAGGCAAACTTGAATATTTCGTACAAGCGTCTTCTCTAGCAGTAACTCGAGAAGCGATAACTACAGCTTTTCATTTCTCCCTAATTATTTCCTACAGCCTGCGCTTTTGGAGTCAAATGCCTGTCAATATTCAACAGGAAGTGCTCACGCATTTTTTTTTGCCCCTGCGTACTTACTGCCGCACTTGCTCTCACATCCCTCGAGCGTAAGGAAGTGGTTGGCGTTGCCCTTGCATCCTCCGAAAACGAACTGCTGGCAGGTGTTGGTCGTCGTGTTGTAGTAGAAGCGGGGGAAGTGGCCGGAGCAAGGTCCCGTGTCCTTCGGCTGGTAGCACACGGAGGGCCTGATCGCTGGGAATGTGCAGGATACGAAACGAATGTTCACCTAAGTGAAACCGACCGTGAGACGTGGGATATATTGATATAATTGGAAGCTCGGCTGGTGTTCCATTTTAACGACATGTCCCTAAACTTACCTGCACTAGAGTAACATTAATTGAACATAAAATTTCAGAGTAGCTATACTCATAGTTTATTATTGAGTGTAGGTGTACAACAACACTTATGCTGAATATAGCTGAGGGGGAAGGGAGAGGGAGTGACGTGAACAAGGTTGGTAGTGCGGAAACAAAACAGCGTGAAAGAAGACGGAGCACAAAATAAAGGGGGACATAAACAACAGTGCTTACTCACGGCAAAGATTATCCGGCAACATTGTGCAATACTTGTTTGCGCTTACTCAATGAAAAGAAAGGACCAACTATAAACAATGTGAGACGAATGATAAAAACAAACTACCTGTCTCATCACTGCTAGCTATGCACCTTGCGCATACAATCACCTCACTAATAGTAAGTTTCCTTGCTCGTGAAGGAAATATATAATGGGCGGCGTTGACGAATAAATTTTGTTGGAAGCTAGTGCTGTACGTTTGTGTCCTAATATTTTTTCGGCTGCGTCCTTCGCACTGTTTCTTTTTTCGTTATGCTATAACAGTACGCCCAGGCACCCACCTTAGCAAAGGTTGGTAGTCCAGTTACAAGAAAGTTTGTATGACAACGAACATCAGATAGGTAATAACTGCGCAAGACTTATTGCAAACTCAGAAAAAAATAGAAAGAATTTAATCTGGGCTATCAAGATAGCGAAATGTCCAGCATATCTTTTCAGTACGCTCTAGAGACAAAATAGACCCAGCCGGGCAAATAAACTAAAAAACAATACTGTCGCCAGATTAAATACATAGTAATTCAGTAAAGCCTGCAAGACTGCGGCACAGGAGTTATTTCACTTTGAGTGCATCACTGATACTAGAAAAGCAACTACTTCTAAAAGTGGATCAACCTATGAACCGAGATGCAGAATGCTTAAATGCACACCACCGGGAGGAACGTTCGATTTTGTGTTAGACCCATTTTTTTTTGAAAACCGAAAAGCATCGGAGAAAGAGGCTACAGAAGAGGCAACATAGCAACATTGCTCTAGATAATTGTTTTGAAGAAATATGTTGGTGTCACCCCATGGCGCACCAACCGAGTAACTGATTATTTGGTGAGCATTTCAATTAATTGAATAATTTGTTATGAAACTGACATATATCATACGGGCGCACTTTAGCTTAACCATGTGTGTGCAGCGTTAAACGAGTTAATCAGCCTTTTGACACGGATAACTAGTTGTATTGAACAACCTGGTGATTTCTAAACTTACGAGCTTGCTGCTGTAGGAGTCTCTCCGTGACGTCGCCGCATCCGGCCTCTGAAAATAAAAAAAATTCAAAGAGGTTGTTCATTGCGAACATCTGACAAGTGAATGGATATGGCTCAGCTGTTGGGGGCCTTGGAGTATATGAAGCTAGCATGATGGTGGCAATGATTTCTGGTATTTTATGCGCCGGAACGATATCATTATAAAAATACGTTGTCTTTTAAGGCCTGCTGATATTTTTACCACGAGGTTTTTTTTTTAACACGGAAGTGTTTCGTGCTACAGCAACTGCAGTGGTGGCTACATAGTTAGAGTGTCCACTTCCAATGCAGGAGGTACCGGTTTCGATTCCCCGTGCTGACCGAGAAACCACTGGTTTTCCCAATGGCTAAAGAAATGCACTGACCCCTGGCACTCGGTTGTTTCTGGGTATTCACCTCAAAAGGGAGCTCCATAAGGTTCTATGAAGGCCCCTGGCCGCGCCCTAAACCACCACAGCCTTGGTGAAATAGTTGACCATCCGCTACTGCGGCGGGAGGCAGAGAATCGCCCAGCTGGTACCTACTGGTTAAATAGGCACAAGCGCACTTACGGCCTGGTGCTCGGCAGAAAGAAATTATAGTCGCTTGGGAGGGCACCCACCCCGCAGGAAACTGGTGGCATAGACGTCAGATTGCCCAGGTGGCGCTGTGAAAAACGCCTCTACCAGCGCCCCCCCTCGACGTGCTGACCGTAAATGGGTAGTGCGAAGAGAGCCATCCGCAAGCGAACGTGCATAGGCCCTCCACTTTCGTTGGTCCTCAGGTGCGGTTTCCTGAATATCAAGGACCTGGCAATCTATTTCCTTCAATCCAACCTCGCTGCAGATAAGTAGGGAGCTCATCTAAACGAACTGCGGGTACAATGCGAAATGTTTTTCAGTTACTTCGGCGTACAACAATTGGCAATCTAAGTGCAAGCGAGCATCGCATGACAGCAAATCCGAGACAAACACTCGGACGTGTGTTCGGTTACGCCTAAACGCGTTAAACTTGGGCATACACATGATGTCAAAGCGATGAAGTGCGTACAAGAGCAATTTATCTTATGATCAGTAGTACGAAGCTTGCTATATACGGCATGTATAGCTCTGGTGATTTTCGCCTATGGTGTTGCGTTCTCCATTGCTCTTTCGCTTCCTGTGCATTCTATTATATTATTACGCGTGATAGAATGTTCTCCTGACGATTGTCATCCGTTTGTATATACTGCTAATGGGGATACATGCATGCCCACTTTTTCGATGTAGAACGAAAGGCAAAACCGAGGCCTCCGCTACAGTTCCGGCAATCGCGGAGACAATATAGAGTTTCATACAATAATTTATGAAACTCTATGGTGGAGACGAGCGGCAGGAAAAACCTGATGGGGGTCGCGATATTTTTTAGATTTACCTGTATGACGTACGTGTTAGTATTTTCCAGTTAATGTAAGAACTCAGAGCCTTCAAAAAACCCTATGTGCATATTGCTGTGTGGTGGAAACAACTTCAAATTATCGGTGGTTGCGGCGTGTGAGATGTGTGCGTGCGTCACCTGTCTACTGTTGCACGACGCGCACCGTGGTCATAGGCTCTGTTGAGCTTCATAATCAAACTTACCTCGGTTCTCCGTCAAAGCAACTTGAAACAATAACAGGAGACTTACATTACCACACTTTTTCATGCAAACGGCTGTACCCGAAACGTTCGCAACGCCCCGTATAGCGCTCTCACATTTCTGCTCTGCGAAAACTGCGGAATTTATTAAAACAGCAGTCCTTCACATCAGTGGCCATTCACAACTCAAAAACAGCGTCGACTGGGGTCTTTGTTCGTAGGGCGCACAGCTGTTGCGTCTGCTTTTGTTTTCGCCATCGTTCTGGTGAGAGAACCAGCAAACACTTCATGGCGGTTCGGATACGCGTCCAACTAGCGGAGAAAATTCATAGCTCTTTTTTTCAGGTGTTGAATGTGTAAATACATCCAATATTTAGCTCAATCGTTGTTTCATACGCTGTTGTTGCTCCTTGTTGCGCAGGAAACTGTGCAAGAAAGTAGCGCTTTGTACTACTAAAAACTGCGTCGACAGGTGGCGCTGCATGTCTACAGAACTCTAGAGTTACTGTATATGCTACCAGCTACCTAAAGGTAGCATATACAGTAACTCTAACAGAACTCCAGAGCCTGACGTCGATGGGACCACCAGACCAAAAATCAAGGTCATCCTCTTTTCTTTTCTTTTTTCGACAGCACATAATGTGTTGTCGAAAAAAAAAGATGAGGATAGTTCACTCATGAAATTATCGCAGCACAAGTAAGACGAAGGACGCGCCGCTGCGGTGGTCTAGGTGGCTACTGTGCTCGGCTGCTGACCCGCTGGGCGTGAGATCGAATTTCAGCGGCGGCGGCTGCATTTTCGATGGAAACTAAAATGCTGTAGGCCCTTGTCCTCAGATTTGGGTGCGCGTTAAAAAACCCCAGGTGATCTAAATTTCCGAAGCCCTCCATTTATACGGCATCTTTCATAATCATACGGTGGTTTTGGGGCATTAAACCCCACATATCCATCTAAATAAGACAAATTACAACGTGGGTAGTCTCAAAGAGCAGAGTGTTGTTTTAGACAATTCTTCTGCTTTGGACAATTATTTAGATCATGTAAAAGTGAAGAATAGTAATAGTGCCTGGGGTTGTACGTCTCAAAACGACGATATTATTATGAGAGACGCCTTTGTTGAAGGCTCGAGAAATTCGGACGATCTGGTGTTCTTTAACATCAGGGACTGAAACGTCAACATTTCTAAGAATTTTGGAAACTACGAGAAATTTTGAATAGTTTTTCAGTTCTAATTGATTTTAAAAGCGTACCCAGAGACATACGTAGCCCTAATGCAAGCCTTACAGTTATGGAACTCACCGAAGGCAGCACCGCAAAGTGCCAAGAACACGAACGTATTCATGGTGCCGCCACGGATCTTTCTAAGAGTGGCGTGCTCGAGCGGCCGCAACGTCGGGCCGTGTATCACCTCGAAAACCCGCTGGCGTCGTCTCGCCGCGCAGGTAAACACCTCCGTTTGTGCACGAAAGAAAGAAAAGCGCACGTCTTGGCCGATGCAGCTCGCTATCTGGAGGCATAATCGGTAACACACAAAGACGTACCGTAGATAGTGGCGTTTGGTCGCTATTTACCTCAAGGCAGTTGGGGATTTTCGGCCCGACATGCTGGTCTCGTGGTTTGAGCCCAGGACTGCTGATCCTCAGTTCACAGGATCGAATGCCTGTGAAAGTGCCCTAGGCACGTGTACTTGGATTTAGGTGCACGTCGAAGAAAGCCTAGTAGTGGAAGTTTCGGGAGCCATCCACTACGCTGTCTGTCATAATCATATGGTGGTCTTGGGACGCTGAACCCCAACAATAACAAATGTTTGAATGCTTCGAAGAAACATTGTAAATATTTCACTGTGTTCAATACGAACTTTCTGATTGTCGAACAACACAATGACATACACTGACCACTGAGTGTGTTTAAATGTGAAGTGGCCCGGTTGGTTGACTCAGTAGTTGACTCTTCCTAGTAAACGTCTTTGTCTCGTTCGATAAACTGGTTACGGAAGCCTACATCCCCAACTACAGCATCAGGTAAAACTTGCTGACAGCCATAGAGGCACCTTTCGACGTTGTAGGGGACACTCCGCCAAAGTCGACGGCTTTCAACAATCTTTATCTATTGGTTACGTAAGCGTTTCTGCTTTTTTTCTTTGCGCTGAATCTACGCTGTTATCAGCAGCGCGTTGGAGATTAGCGCGTGTGATACCGTTTCTTTCACACGTATACCTTGCTCGCGGGACATAGCATGATTGCTACCCCTTTGGTGACGACAGAGTGTTGCCGACTCTTATAAATTTATTCATTAGTATTAAACCGACTACTTTGTTACAATGCTTGCTCTCATGGTGCTTTCTTTTTCAGCATCCGCTGGAAGCAGGCGCAGGGAGGCAAAACAAAGAAATCTGCGGCCCGAATCGGTTTCATTTTCCGTTGCATTTCATTTAACGTTTGAGGTGTTTTCAGTTATGTACTCAAAATGAATCGCATAATCTCGAACTTCGAAAAAAGGCTATAAGAAAGATAAACGGTGCCATGGGCCATATATCAAACCTCCACCAGAGGTCCACTAGTCAGTAGACCTTTTTCCGAAGGGAAAATCCTTGGTTCATAGCTCTACGCGTCGCAGGCCAGCAAAGCGACGCGGGCATTGCTAAGTTTTCTAAAGACGACCGGACGACGGGACCACTTATAAGCCTGCACTGGACAAGGTCACATCTACACACACGTTGCCCTTCACTTCTCTCTCTCTCTCTCTTCTCTTTTAATACCCTCACCCCTTCCCCCAGTGCAGGGTAGCAAACCGGACGTGCGTCTGGTTGACCTCCCTGCCTTTCATTTCTTCCCTTCCTCCTCCTCCTCCTCCTCCTCCTCCTCTTCCACCAGAAATCCTAACAAGAGATCATTTCCTGCACTTTTTCCCTCGAATAGCGTGATCACCAGGCAAATTCAAATATGCAGTAGACGAGGTGGTAAAGTCTGGTTAGCGGTAGTCTGTAATCAGCGCGTGCTGGTTGGGATGTTTTGCCGAAGCATCGGCTGTACTTTTGTACCAAACGATTCTATGACACAACCTAGGATGCGTGCTGTACCTGGGACATTGTCCCATAAAGCAAACATAAAGGGGCATGCCAACTTCGTGAGAATCAGTAAAAAATATCTAACAATATGCGAATGCCGCAGTTCTACTTTTACAGTGTCCTTCAGTTGATCGAAAATAACGTCAATTCTTTTTTATATGTCTAAATACTAATACCAACAGCTACCTCTAAAGTGAATCCATGAATTAGATAGATATGTGGGGTTTAACGTTCCAAAACCACCATATGATTATGATAAACGCCGTAGTGGAGGGCTCCGGAAATTTCGACCACCTGGGGTTCCTTAACGTGTACCCAAATCTGAGCACACGGGCCTACAACATTTCCGCCTCCATCGGAAATGCAACCGCCGCAGCCGGGATTTGAACCCGCGACCTGTGGGTCAGCAGCCGAGTACCTTAGCCACTAGACCGCCGTGGCGGGGCCAATCCATGAATTGAATGGTTATGATGTAGCGAAGCTCCTCTGATGATCATAAAATGCTTATTAAATGACTATAACAATGTTTATGAGTTTTAAACTGCGTATTTATATACATGAACGAGGGGTTTGCTGTTGGCTTTGAACAGCACTGCCTTTTGATGACAGAATGGGAACGACAGTGGTGTTTCGATCGTGTCCATGTGAAAGTTTACGAACACTCAGTGCACTTGTCATGCTCGGTGTTCATTTGGTTGTTGGACGTGCATCGTAGCGAGTAAGTGTCGCACATTTGTGCCGCTACTCAGTCATCGTCGAGTACGTCGACTTGGAAGGATCCAGTCAAGACCCATTAGGATCTGGAAGGATCCAATTAGGATCTCGTTGACCCACTTGTCGTGCCGCGAGTGTTCGAGCTTAAGCAGCTGGGTGCTGTTAGCCTTGTTGGCAAGCCACAGCGTCCCACGCTCTTGGCCGCGAGTTAGCTTCGCGGCGTTGTAGTTTTTCCATTGTTTCTCTTGCTCGGAACTTGGGGTCAGGGTTGCGACGTTTTCGTTGGGCCACTGCGTGGAGCACCTTACGTTCGCGCAAGCGCTTCGATTGCTATGCGTTCTTTATTACTTTAGAATAATAGTAGTGATCAATGCTTTATGGTTGACGCAGTCCCCATGATGGTTTCCGGAACCACATTCACTACATTCGTGACCAAGGCAACACCATGCACGATCTGTATCACATATTTGTTTGATTGGGGTAATTGTAGCAGGTGAGTCAAAGCTGCTTCCTGATGAAGGCTAGCGACAAGGCCTTCTTTTCGGATGTGTCAGCGTCAACATCAAGGTCATGCAGTGCTGATGACGATCGGTGTTTTTGTGCATAAACTGATTCTTCTATCTATCATAGACTCGGGGCGTTAATAAATGCGTTGAAATTTTCAGGCGTAGCCGCACCTTGTGAAAATACTACTTTGAAGCAGTTTTTCCTCCTTCTTGAGTCGGCTTCTACTTTTCGTTGTCTTTTTTTTACCAAGTACTTATATATTGCTTTTTAGTTGTTTTGAGTCTTCTTTGCAAGGTGTTGCAATATCTTTGTTCTCTTTCTTAGGCTGTACAAAAGAACTATTGTTGATACTTGCTTGTCTAAGTTTAATTTTGTAGATCTGTAGGCCACTATTAACCAAATTTGGAGTTCGCGACAAGTCATATACGTTCTTTTTGTATGTTTATTCGAGTTTAAAGAATTGTTGCTAGTAGCTAAACAATAATTCTGGCATGATGATGTGAGATTTTTTTTGCTTCTGTTTACATCTGATACTATTATTACAGTTTGTATTATTTATATTTCTAATGCAATCCACACTAGCCTATGGCTATGGCATCATCCAGGTTGTGCATATTTTGTATAAGGTATGTGTGCAACAAAGAACATTCATTCATTCATTCATTCATTCATTCATTCATTCATTCATTCATTCATTCATTCAAGAAAGTTTCTGTATGGGCTATTTGAGACAGGGTGCTATTCCTGGAAGCGATATAATAGTGCTGCTATTTGAAGATCCGTGAACTTGTGGGCCACTTCTGTTGGAATCAGCCTGATATAAGGCTTCGAGGAGAGTGTGACACGCTGCGGATGTTATGCGAGAATGTCACATGCGTTAAATGAGCCGTAATTAAAACTCATGCGCCGTGACGAGCACTTCCAGCTATGCCTGCCAGCGGCGTGTCAACGTTCCGATGCATACACCTACGCACCAATACTGCGTGGGCCATCTGTGAGAGCGTGCTGTTGGCAGTGATATAACACTGCTCCTGTCTGTAGCAAGCACTGTTTGGTTTATTGTACCTACATTGAGGTCATGATTGACTTGTCAGCTGATAGCCTGTGTAGAATGGCTTCAGTTGTTGCTATACTCCAGAAAAAAAAACTAAACACCGTGTTCAACACTTCTGGATATACATTAAGGTTTCAGATTGTTATCAGTAATTAAAAAATATATCTGGTGCAACGAGGGCTAGAAAGTGGAGCACAATTTCGAGTGCTAGTTACGAGACGTTATGCGATCTTTGGCCACGTCACTAGTTCTTACGTGATGTTACGCGATTTCAGCCTCTTCACTACTTGTTACGTGATTTTTAATCACTTGAGCGAAACCACATGCTAATATGTGAGAGCTAAGCAGAGGTTGAAGAGGACGTACCCAGTGCATGTACGTTTATGATGATGGTGAGTGCTTAACTACCCTGCGCAACGAGAAGATTATTGAAAATTTCGCGAAACTCACACCATGTGGGAGTCGACGTAGCGCGAACCGATAAGGGGCTAGGAACCTTGTGCCGGGTTTTGTCGTGTTATTGCGTCAAGCGTTGCGAGATGCAACTGCGTTTTCGAGCCGTTTAAGCACAGTTAAAGCGCATATTGCGGGCCTTCCGGGCACATGCACTGCGTTAATGCCGTAAGAAAACACCTAATCCCTCGCAGTAACATGGGTGCTCGCGTTAGAAGTCCGTTTCATCGCAAGGGAATGGATAGTATGGTGTGATAGTATGAATATGATAAATAGGAATTGTAGGCGTATCCATTTTTGCGGTCGATCAACTCTCAACTTCAGCTGGCTGAGTCATAGGTGTGAATATGTAACACTTATTACATAAAAACAGATAACCAACCCCGTGACCACAATTGACGTTGCCCCGACATGACACCGTGCAGGTATTCATGTCATAACATGTCAGTCGGGTTCGTCATTCAGTGACGACCTCTTTATCAAATATTGGTATGTATACCGATTTCAGGACCTGATGAGCTGCCAGGCGTACGCGAATAGGCAGTGACATAGATAGATATTTCCAAGTTACTTTGGATACTTAATAACTGCGTCTTTAAAGCTATGACTTCCTACTTATTGAAAATGAACTTTCGAACACGCACGACACGCTTTTCACATGTGGCACCCTTCCCTCACGAAGGCTTGTTCACAAAGAAGTCTCCATGAATTAATTTTCGGTCCGCTCTTAATCATGGCGCTAGTTGTTGGCCTTCGTGGTGATTTATCTATTTATTTATTTATTTATTTAACAATATTGTAGGTCTTCTGCAGACCCATACAGGAAGCGGGCATACAACATCACAGGTAAACAATTAGATACAAAGGTGTGGAATACAATATTTTGAGGGACGATATGCGCAACAGCAGAACACTTACAATAGCGAGTACAACAATACTACATTGTTGCTTTATAAAATAGGTGATTTATCAAATTCTTAGTATTTTCTGTACGCCGATGATACGATGGTTGTAGAATCAGCCAATAGCCTATCCTGCGCTTAGATAAATCAAAATGAACTATACGCTGCCTGGGAAAGCGCTGCCAATACTATAGTAGAACTATAAACTGTGCTAATTCTCCAAGACTTATGGCTTAAACAACGTTGAAGTTAAGCAGGTTGGTTTGGGGAGTTTCTTATGCGTCATTCTAGATTTTATTATAAAATTTGACGCACACATTCATTCCATACTTGAACAATTGTCCTCATCATTATATACATAATTAAAACTTGTTCATCTGTCAGCGCTACTTCGGTGCGCCTTCATCCTAGACAGAGGACTTTACTACTGCTGGTGCAAATACTAATAGACCCTTTAGAAAATTCAGTCTGGCAATACGGCACTTATTCTATATCTTGTTCACTCGTGCTAACTGGCGGGCTGTGTGTCCCAGCGACGCCGATGAGCGTTCCCTGCAGCGCACACAGACACCACTTTTGTTCCTGCAGGACGTGTACCGCATTTGGACTTGGACGGTGCGCCATTGAGCATCTCGTGGGTGAACGAGACATGGTGAAAAAAAAGAGTGTTTTTGTTTCCGTTTGATAGGCGGCATTGAACTTTAAAAGGGTCTATTACACCCACATGTCACGCATAGTATTGTGCTCTCGTGAAGAAAATGTACTCCGTTTGTTGCACTCCGATAGCCAAGGCGTCATCTGATAGCCTACATCGCTCCCTGCTCAGATATACTCTTTTTCCTATTTTTGGCTTTTCTTTCTATATATTTTTTCAGCCCAAAATAACGCTGTGTTTGAAAAACCATAAGCCTTTTACTTAAGATCCTGCCGCCCAGTTCTTGGCCGATCCCCCTTTGTGGATGTGCGCCAGAGTATCAAGGGGCATCATCATCATCATTATCAACCATGGCGTTCGGTTGAAGGCGTTGAGTAAACGCCAACTTTTCCCAGTGAATGGGGCACTGATTTCTTCGGCACGCAAACTCACTGTGAGAAGGTAACTTCTTAAAGTACTCTTGAATGTGTACTTCAAGGTTTTTCACGATGCTCAAATCAAACTATTGCACTCGTGTGAAAATTCTCGGTTTTCTACCTACAGCAGGGATTTATTTTTGTGTCTGAAGCAGCACATGTCCTTTATTTGTTGCTTTCTGTTTCAATTCATCCTGTGTATTCTCGCTGCCGTGCTTCAATCGGCCTTGTATCCTCCGCGGTAGAATTGTATTGAAAATGGGTATTTATTTCTTAGGCGCGGGGAACGACGCCAAACACCTTCAGGCATTTCTTCTGACAGGCATCGAAGGTGCGGAAGTTGTTCGCGTTGCCTCCGCAGCCTCCGTAGATGAACTGCTCGCACGTCTTGGTCAGTGTGTTGTAGAAAAAGCGAGGCATGTACGCATCGCAGGGTCCGGCATCGACCGAGTAGGTGCACTCTTCAGGTGGCGCCACTGCGGAAAAACATAGTTATTGCGTTAGGACCGCGTGACAATGGATCCGCTGGTTTAGAATACGCGACACCGTGTACTTATTAGCTCTACACATTTCGTTGCATTCGTGCGGACAGCGACCACATTGGCAGGGGCGAAATACGAGGAGCTGCTCCACATAGCTTCCGCAGTGATAATAGTTAGCCTAATGTCTGTTATGCTTTACGTCACAAAATGGTTATATGATTACAAGACATGCCATAAAAGAGAGCTCGGGAAATCTTGACCGTCTGGCGTTCTTTAACGTGCGTTTAAAATTAATCACACAAGACTGTAGCGTTTCGGCTCCATCTAAATGGAGGCGAAATAGCCGAGGCTGGGATACGAAGCTATCACATTCAGGTCAGAAGTCGAACTCTATAACCTATACTCCATTGGGGTGGGTAGTATTAGAAGTACACTGAAGGAACTGCAGGTTTTAAATGGGAGATCTATCGCAACAGCATGCATTCAGTTCAGTAAAACTGATAAAAACCGACAAACAAAACAACATACCACAAGCTACGGTGCCAATTGTTCAATGTCCTTCGTGTTTTACTCCTGTTTCCACCTATTATTATGTTTCCGCCATCGATCACCATTAAATGAATCACATGGAGTTGGTGAATGGACTACATGAAGAACTATGGGCCGATACACCGCTTTTTTAATTTGGAATATTAATAAGAGCAGCAATATCTCGGGTTTAATGTGCGAACACCATGATACGATTGCGACGCCCGCCGATGTAGAGGCTTCCAGAAATTGGGACCACCGGCTGTTGTTTTGTGATCCATGACGTCGCAGATCACACAAACCTCAAGAATTTGATGGGGTCACGATTAATCCGAGGCAACCCCTTCGCCCCTCCTCCTAATGCCGTTCGCCTTCACTCCATGTGCTGCTTCCCGACGTCTAACACCACAGTTTATGCTCGCTTTGCTTCTTTTTTAATTTTCATACTTACTAGCAGTAGGCTGTCGTATACTTTTGTTGAAGGTAAGTTGTTCAAACAAGATCCTACGACTAGTTTACGGACTCACCTGTCAGAATACGAAGCTACTAAATCTACAAAATCTTACCCAAATCAGCTGACATGTCAACATTGGTTCTGAGCGAAAACATTAGAAATAAGTCCCGACTCTCTTGCTCCCTGGTGCTGTTCATCATCTCCGAGCAAGTCGTCTTACAGCGAAAGCTGTTATTGAATCATAACAAGGGTGTTGTCATCTCATAACAGCTTTCGCTGTAGAAAGAATTGCAAGAAATTCCTTGCAAGTGTGTAGCGGCTACCACGCTTCTCCGAAAGAATGACGAAGGACAGCATAGCGAAGGCGAGCCTAGTACACAAAAATTATGATTATATAAGGAATTGCGAGTACCCTGCAAGTGTGCTTGTAGCAGGTACACAAATAGTGTTTAGAAATGGCTCTGAAGAACCACTCTTCCAGCTTTTACTCTGACTAGTGCTGCGTGTTCCACGCAGACCTGCCAATTATCTAGTATCAGCCTCGAGAGTGATTTCCGTGGTAAGAAAAACAAATATTTATCAATACTACTGTGTTTACTAATAATGATACTCACAGGGCCAGAACGGAACTTCAACGGCACCAATGATCGTCGCAGAGTGCTGCTCCAGGGATGCTGCGTGGACGTAATAAGAACCACTGTGATTGAGGTGTCTGTTCTGCGAGTTTTTCAGTATAAATGCAACTTTGAATTGCGATACGCTTCTCCCTACGTGCCTCTATTAGAAGACGGAACGAGTGGCTTGGAACATGAGTACCGGCAAAGCACCCCATTTCTTACCGCCACTACGTGGCAGTTCCTCGAGCGCGAAAAACATTGGGTGTGTCGTTTCTCGGTGCATGTTCAAATCTCTCAGTACCACTGTATCGCCAGCGTCACTATAGATACCAGCAGTTACAGGCTTATAGAATGCGGATGCTGACGCACCGCACGCAGACACTTACTCATAAAAAAAAAGACGTGGCTGATCCTTCTTTCTAGGAATTGGTATAACACGAAAGAACACGAAAGACACGTGGAGCGTGTCTTCAAAGAGGTAGGTGAGCACTTATGATGCATTGGTTGGCCAAAAGGGCGAATGAATCAATTCATTGTTAGAAATAATAAAGCTAGAAATTCTAAAGTCATGTGAAGGTCAGCAAGCAGGTCTAATTGTTCAGCGAACTGAGAGCGTGAGAGGAACAGACACACACACGACGCAAAGGGGAGGCGCACAGCCCGAGCACTCGTGCTGTGTGCCTCCTCAATGCTTTGTTTGTGTGTTCCTCCCACGCTCCCAGTTCGCTGAGCAATAATGAGTTACCAACTAGCCCACCTTTCTATCCTGTTACAAGCAGCTCTAAACTTGCAGCGCGCACCTCAAGCAGAAAGCAAGCACGCAATGAGCACACACTGGACGAGCGCGTACTGTCACAGTTCTTGCTTCTTCGGGTGTAAGAAGCGCGCTCCTTTCGTAAACGTGGCCGCGACAGCAAGCGAAGCGACCTTTGTGCTCTCCCGAATCAGGAGTCCCATAAGCGCGCGCGCAGAAGAGACCACGCTCCGTGGAGGCGGCGCTCATAGACACACGAGGCGACAACCTTTAGAGCGCGCCCAACGCTAAGCGATCTCGTCGCGCCATATAGGCACCCGGCAATGCGGTTTACGAAATCTGATGGTAGCGCCAAAACACGCAGCCTAGCGAGTAGGCGCAGCAAAACCGAGTCTTCCAATGTGTAACCTTACGAGTAGACGCAGCAAAACCGAACTTGCACGTGCACATAATTTTCTGTTTTAGTTGTGAGCAAGGAGGCCACGGCTCATTATCTAAGCGCCCAGGAAGCGTTCTTTGAAAACGTGCCATAAAGGGCGCTGGCACTTTAGCGTGTTACTGTGCTCAGCGAGCGTTCCATTTTCTTAGTATCCCTGGCGGTCAGTACCAACAAAGCTGAGGTGGCCCAAAGAGCTTCGTCGCGCCCTCTGGTCCACTGTCGAAAACGCGCTGTAGTTTTTGAGCTCTGAGGATCCCCAAACGGTGTATGGTGTATAAAAATGGCTAGCCATTAGCAGATATGACGATGTTTGCTCTGTGGTAGAGTGGTTAGTGCCGCGCGCTGCTGATTAAGAGGTCATTTTTTCCATGCCCCGCGAGAAAATTTTCTTGTTTTTTTTTCTTTGAAATTTGTAGTGTGTATGGTACAGCGTTGCATCCGTGAGGGAAATACGTCAGAGGAGCCCTGGTGTACCCCCGCATAAAACACTTTTGTTGAAACCAAGTCCGGTGCTCTAGAACGCACGGGCCAGATACGCGCTGTACGGTGTACAATACACACGACGCGCACCCTAATGGAACTGCTCGTTTTTTTTAATAAAATGGTGTAATGAAGGCCCCATGGATATGTTATTCCGCGCCAGGAGCACATCGGCCTTTTTTTTTGCATTAGAGATGTGGTATAAATAAGAACCTGCAGTGTTCGTCGCTGGAACTCGCAATCTACCAGTTTGCAGGAAAGTGGAAGTCCACTAGAAAATTACTCACTCCAGCACGTGTTCTGGCACTCCTCGAGAGTCACGAAGTTGTTGCCATTGCCCCGGCATCCGCCGTAGATGAACTTCTGGCAAGTCTTGGTCACGTTGTCGTAGTAGTAGCGAGGGAAGTAGCCGGCGCAGGGTCCGGGAAACTTGGTCTCGTTGCACACCGGGTTCCATCCCACTGCACGAGAGCTCAACATGCATACGCGCACCTGACGGCGGAAAAGGCAAAGCCGTTCCTCGCATGTGCTGATCGAAGAGCAATGTGCATGTGAGACGATGAGCATCCGAGTACCTCAAGTAAATGTTGACGATGATGCTGTTATGCCGTATAAGCACATCACATTTTTAAATACCTACTGATACTTTTACAGCTTTTCTGTGCCTTTACGCCGGATCAATGTTGGCTTGCAAGTGCTCGTCAGCTCGAAGTAGTTTATCAAAGAACGATAAATTATACGACGAAGCTCATCTTTTTGGACGGTGATGCATGCAAACGAAAGTTTATGTGATACTTCGTGCTTTCAGATCATCCCCAGAATTCATTAATACGATCTACCAGGGCCTACAGGGCAGGAAAGAAAAGAGAAAGTCGTTAGGGCGGTTCGTCTATGCATATAAAACACTTTTTTTCGCAATATCTCTCATAGTGACAATGCAAGCTAAAGGAGGTTGTGATGCACGGTCGCTCGCGATATACCAATATTTCTAAAGAAAATTTCTCGCCACTGTCTACTGACTTCATGAATTGGCTCACGTGACCCGTAGAGTCAATGTAAGTTCACGTTGAGCGTGAATACCAGGAGACAAATTTTTTTCGCATTTTACACACAAGACTTCAGCGAAACTATGTGACTTACCGACTTCCCTGGAGAGTATTGGCTGGGCACGAATGAGGTCCTCTAGAGAAACTGCAACATTGAAAACGTCAAGTCTTGGGAATAAGTATTGCACTTGCAACGAACACCCATTAGCTAGCATCGGGTCTAAGGAACATGTGCTAACGTTCGTAGGTAAATTCGAAATGGCTCAGCTCAACCTTCTTGTTCTATTCCTACCATTTCAGCTTTCAGAACTTGAATGCAGTTGTATTCTCACAGCCATTAGGAAGTCATTGCAGTCGTTTAATTAGCATGGTATACACAAGAATGCATGTACAACTTGCGTGAAAAGTTTAGAAATGAGTTGGTCTGGGAACTATTTACATTGTCGAGCAATTTGTGATTTTATTTGGCCTAATTGCAAAGTACATGCTGTTAGCGCGTTTTAGAAAAGGCGGGGAACCTAAATTCAAGGCCGGTTAACGAAACAGTGGGTGTATACAGCTTTTAGATTTGTACCTCATGGTTCTTAAAATTCTGGCACTGATAAACATGCATGCATGACAATCATGCTATAATGCAGGCCATGCTACCACACGAATGACGTTATTCACCCCAAATGCAATGTGCTGCAAACGCCTTGTCAATGAAAGCTTTGCAAAACAAAATTGATCTCGGTATTGCGGGGATCTAGCGTATTTTAATGAGATAGCGTTAAAGAGCTCGTGCTGCGGGAAACCCGCCTCCGGCATGGGTCCTGTTGGTTGTGAGTGAAAGATCGTCTGTGCGTCTGTGACCTAAAAATCAAGTTACCGAGATAGCCGCGGGAGGCCGCTACTTGTCCACGCGTGCGCACGCGATCACATTGAAAAAGCCGCGGATTCGAAAAAAAAAAAAGCGCCGTATCTTCATGTTAATCTGCAGATGTCGAAAGACGACAGTCTTGCATCTGGAGAGAGTGAAGAAAACGTTTATTCGATATTCTGTGCAAGAAAATCAGTGAATGGTATTATGGAGGCGCTGCGTTAGAGTGCCTCGAGTGTGCAATGGAAGCGAACAAACGCACCAAGTCACGTCACACCTGAGACATGAGCGCCATCTGGCAGTTATCTTTGAAAACAAAACGCGTGGCTCTGAGATGGCCGTGCGCGCCCGTGATAAGATGTAGAACGCAAGGCGATGAGTAGGTACAACCACCTTGTAGATTGAGCAAAGCGTTGACAAGGCTTGCCTTTTCGTGCAAGCGTTCCATGGTCAGTGCAGCGTGATAAACTCTACGGACCCTGAAACTACTTTATGGATGTCTTTTCCAGTAAAAGCCACACACGCAGAATATATACGTGTTGTTATGTTGCTTCAGATATGCGCAATAGTTGCTTTTCAATTGACAATCGCACAAGTATGAACGCTGAAGCTTGAGCAATATTGGTGGGTGCTGTGGATGGGCTCGGCCGTTAGGAGTATCGTCTAGTGCCGTTTGAGGTACCCAGAAGCGCTAAAAGTGGACAAGCCGACTAATTTATAGACAGACAGACAGACAGACAGACAGACAGACAGACAGACAGACAGACAGACAAACAGAAAGACAGACAGAAGACAGACAGACAGACAGACAGACAGACAGACAGACAGGACCAATATTTTTTCGCGGAAGGTCCCCAAGAAAGACTATCGTCTTTAAAAAGTGCTCAAGCTCACAAGGTGCGGTGGTTTCTTTGCCCTGCCACCCCTTCCTGCTTAGCTTTCAGAGCTTTCGTAGGGACGAGAGAAGAGATAATCCAATTGCAGAATGCGGCAAACCTTTGTAACTACACTCGCACTGGACGGATTCTTACAATTTTTGCGGCGTTGAATGTCTGAGGCAAAAAGCTCTTCTAGTGAATTCATTCCATGGTTACTTGAAAATGTGTTTCAGGGCCCCTTTAACGCATATTGTTCGACAGGTGTCACGACGCAAACGAGCCCACTCGGCTATAATAGCACGCGCTGGTCCAGTCTTCTGTGCGCGTGTTTGTGTGCGTGCTTGTGTATGTAACAAAACATAAGAATAAGTAGGAACTTAGCAGTTGAAGGGCGCACTAGGGGCTGGATTTTGCTATCGCGTTCAACTCTTAAAGGCGAAGCTTAAGGGTCCCCCAATTTCTTTTCTTACCCAGCTTTGTAGATCGCAGCAGGTTATGTCATGCTTCGTAGTGTTCTGAGCTACCTACTTCAATGAATAGGTTTATGCGAAATAGAAATCGTAAATACACACATTTCATTAACTCGAGCTCATCTCGTATTAAGATTCCAGAGCTATATTTTCAGCACAGCAGAGAAAAAGCCATTCACTTACTGGTCTCCTTGGTGTCCTCCTGCCAGGACTGGTCTGTGAGGTTGTGCAGACCTACAGGGTAAATATGTTTGAGTATGATGTTTTATAGCAACCTCTACCATTTAAAATTCAAAGAATGAATGTGTTTAACAAACGGGGATCCAACTGTACAGACATTTAGCTTGCAATCGTCCGGCTTGACCATTTGGTCTTTCATGTAGCGCTTTCAACATTTCAGTATTCATACGTGGGGTGCTGGTTGTACTCCATAGTTAGACGAGGCGTTTTCTTTTCCTCAGTTTAACTGCAGTTTACACGTGCAACCACTCACCAGCAACAGCTGGTGTCACCTTCAAGCAGTGTTTGACCTGGGGAAAGTTATATTAATCGCGTGGCAATCCTTGTACTCTGCGCAGCTGTTATGACTCTATGATTCCCGAAACTGCACATTTATTCTTGAACAGCTGGCCTCGCATTGTGTATCCGATGCTGCAAACAGATCAACGGTGCCCGTGGAAGGTGATGAAACCAGACAGATTGTACAAAGATTTGGAGCATGACACCAGTGAAGGTTTGGTGGTGTTACTTGCAGTTAGCATTAGACTATACACAGTTACGACTTGATCATTTCATTACGAAGTGAACTTCAAAACTTCGTCGTCTAAGATGTTCTGACAATGTTGCTGAGAGATCAAATGAGTGAAGAATGTTATAGTCGACAAGCAATGTACCTACATGTTTGTGTGGTGCGAATGCTGTGATTATTCAGGCAGGTATACTTTCGGGTTTACACTTACAATTTGCTGTACCAGAATCTTGTGTGCCCTAATAGCACATAAAATTGCGGACATGGGCAACATCAATTTTTACGCAATACCAAACGTTTCCAATTCCAAAAATGCCTTCCCAGTATTTCACATTAGGATCCTTTCCTAAATAGATTGGGCGCCATGATTCAAACAAGTCATCACTAGCAACGTCCGGAATAACGAAATTCTGGCTAGACATCGACTCCGAAATGTGCAGGCGTGTTACAGTTATGCATTATTTATGGAGGCCACTGGGTTGGTGGGTGCCCCACGAAAAAAAAAAAGTTTTAGTCCTAATCATGACCAGTGTAGCTCACGAATATACTTGTTAAAAAAGTTCAAAAATTTGGGGCGAAGGCAGTCATGTGCGTTTTGGGCGAGTTTGAGACTTTTGCTTTAGAAGAATTGATTCTTGAAAAGTCCAAACCGACGTCGTTGTTCGCTGTCCCAAGGAACTCGAAAGGACTACGCTGTGTGAAACATTCAGTTGTCTGTGTTCTTTTTTCTCCGGTTTTTTTTTTCATTCGGTTACATTCATTAGGATGCCTCTAGTACAGGATCTTAATTTACGGTGACACCTATTTTGTTTGCGAGTCACTATTTTATCGATACACTCTGGGAAATATTACACGTGTCAGTCCCGGTCGAAGGCTGTATTGAGACCTTCTGCAAGAGCACAGCTCAAAGCCACAGTTTCAGTGAAGCTTCCTCAGTTAATGTAGGTTAACAGAACGCGTTGAATTTCTGAGATTCCACTAACATTCCAGATATGCTCGACATAAGGTTTAGTATTTTAGATGAATATGAGTTTCGTGACAGTGGTTGATGCATTCTTGGTACTGTGAGGCGCAATAGATTGAATGGAAAGTGGATATATGGTGAGTTCTTCAGAATGTTTTTCGCGTCTGCGTCACTATTTCCTTTTGTCTACACAACGCTTGACTTCCCCTAGGTTCAGTAAAACTCCACATGCGTATTTTTGACGAGCTTATGGCACAAAAAAGACAAGACAAGGACAAGCGCCATAAGCTCGTTAATAATGAACCAAATCGTCCAACAAGTTCCTCTGCTGTATTTTTTGGCCTGTCTAAGTTGATGTGTTAACAGGATTCTATTCGGCCGACAATGGTCGAAAATGGCAAACGTATATTTTTGCATTTGCAGCGCGTGAAGGTTGTGGGTACTGACTACTGTATTCGTCTACAATATATGTGATACATGCAATACTCTTTCGCATAGGTACCTAATGACGCAATGCGCATAAGTGAGAGATAAGACCCTCTGTGGAATTTATTGTTCGCGCTATAGATTGGATGAAAATTATCGAATGAGCCAGTGAGATGCTTCCTTTATTGCTCTCTCTCTTGCAAGCGGAAGCCGATTACCAATGAATATTATGCCCGGTTTTTTTTTGTCATAAAATTGCTTCGTATCTAATATTGAACAGAGCAGTTCACCTGTGACCGTCTACTTGTGTCTTTACACTGGCTAAGCAGTACGTAACGAGCTAAGAATATGAGAGTTTGGGATACCTTCATGAAAATATCAAGTAGAATTATTTTTCAAAGCTGCGTAACAACTGTCAACTAAATTGCAGTATATTTTAAATGCGTAGGGAAATCTTCCGCATCTTTTTCAGTCATGTTTGCTAAAAAGGAGCCATCGTCAGAATGCAGGTACTAACTGCTGGCTTCACTCGAAACACATATTTAGATAAAAGGTTTACTGTTGGGGCTCCACTGACCCACGTTCACCGGGTCTACCGTCACATGCCGCAACAACTCTGGCACTGTGGATGCATAGTGGCGCAACCATCAACTGGCTGAGTGGAGCGGGAGGAGAATTATGGTCAGCTAAAAGTGCTTAATGACCTGGAAGGTCTGGGAAAAGCCGAAGGGGCACTCTTTGTGTTCACTGCTTTAAGAGGGCTCTCACAACTCATTTATAGTCCGACGCAGCGTTCGCGTCAGCCAGCGGCAACGAAAGTTGGCGACGCCAGGTTAAGCACGTTACATTGACGCGAAAGCCGAACATTGTACACACTCTCTGGCACCACGCCGCGTAGCTTTGACGCATTCGTATTCGCTCAATTTATGAAAGCATCAGAGAACCTGAACCGCGGCGCTATAAAAGCGTTAGAGCACCTGAACCACGGCGCTCAGAATTCACACTAGGCACTATGGTAATCATCGATCATTTTTTGTTTCAATTTTGTGGTGATGTCGTCATGGAAAGTTCTAGAAACTTGTGAAGTTGATGTACTTCCACTAAATACACTTTACCGCAGCGTTAATTTTCTGACAAGCTTTGACTTGCTTAACTGCAATCATGCGTATACAGGAATTTGATCTCCACCGTATATATATATATATCATTATGCGCCATCTCAGCAGCAATTTGAGCAATAGCTTTTGGATAATGAAAAGTTTTGAAACCTTATCTTTGGATGTTAAAATCTCGCTTTTTTATTGGCGTGAAACTATGGTTCACGAATACTGTCCGGTTTAATTAACCGTTATAGTTAATCAAGTGAAAGCAGGCACATGGTTAAAGATGTAGTAGTAAGATAGTATAGACAATACCAATCATTTATTCGTACTCTTCTATTACGGCATATCCTGTAGCGTATTCTGTGTGGTGTACATGCTAATGATCCGTTTTCTATGAGAACTCCTCAGCCGAAAAAAAGTGGTGTTGGACGCATTGGCATTATTTATCAGGTCACTTACGTATGCGACCACGAATTGCTTGTAAATGGAAGTTTATGCGGACCTAAGTTCAAATTTGTGCTTTTTATGGACACCCGCATCAACAGAAGCCGCACAGGCCATGAACGATCGTAATATTTGCCACTTGTAAGCTGTGAGTAATTTTTGTGCTTACGCATTCTTCTGGTAAGTCTGGACCTGATGAGTTCATCAGTGAGGGTGACATCTGAAAAAAAAATGTTGGAATCACTACACTAAACCCAATGTGAGAAAAAAAAACGTCACTTAACGTAATGAAGGCAAGTTCATTCTTGGGAGACGTGATGCAGTACTTTAAGGCTGTCAGAAGCAGATGTTTGAGGAGTTCATAAAAAGTGCCCTCTCGGTCAACGTTTACAGCATCACCATTTTCAGGATTAGCATCACGCGAAAACTGCACAATCACTTCCGAGTCTGAAATAATTTATTGGGTTTAGCATGCTCTGGCAAGTGTTAGATCATCGGACGCCTTATACGAAGGTTGAGCATTGTTAGCGTTCCATCCAGTTTGATTTCTTCACAGTAATATCACAATCACCACAGATGACATTCCAAAAACTTCACTAGGCTTGATTTTCTCTTAGTTGTCATTAATGCCCCGCCGCGGTGGTCTAGTGGCTAAGGCAACCGGATGCTGACCCGTAGGTCGGTGGATCGAATCCCGGTAGCAGCGGCTGCATTTTCGATGGAGGCGAAAATGATGTAGGCCCGTGCGCTCAGATTTGTGGGGACGTTGTAAAGAACCCCAGGTGGTCAAAATTTCCGGAGTCCTCCACTACGGCGTCTCTCATAATCATATGGTGGTTTTGGGACGTTAGACCCCACATATCAATCAGTTGTCATTAGTATGCTGGTATTACCTGCTTTACGCGCTGAGATGTCACATGGGTTCTCTTCAGAACACGGATTCATTGATGCGAGAGGAAGTATCTACCTCTTTTAATGTGTCATGTACGCTTCATTTGTTCGCGCGTTATGCAAGAATAATGAACATCCAAAAAATCGCAAATCAGTTTGTATTTCGTGCATGCATACTCCAAAATATGCCTTTCAGGCAATTCTTACACGTCCGCCCACCCTATTTTAACACGTCCGCCCGCCCTGCGCTACTGGCACTCTGATACACGAGAATATTTTACGAGAAATCGTACTTATTCCTCCTCTGTACTCACTTGCGCACTTTCTCTCGCATTTGCGAAGCGTTTCGAAGTTGTTGGCGTTGCCCATGCATCCTCCGTAAATAAACTGCTCGCAGGTGCCGGTCGTCGAGTTGTAGTAGTAGCGGGGGAAGTGGCCGTAGCAGGGTCCCTTCTCCTTTGGCAGGTAGCACGTGGAATTCTTGGGGGCTGAGAAAGGGACGGAAACGAAGAAGACTGATGCAGTGGCACAAGAGTGTTCCTAAGACTAATGTAGTGACTTGGTTATTTCTAGGACTTAGGTAGGTGATGAAGGCTTCTAAGGTTGCTTATAGGTTGTTGGTAAACTTTAGCTAGGTGATGGTAGGTTACCTTGATTCTCGGCGCAGAGAGATTCGTGTTAATGCACAATCAATGACAGACACGACATGGTTGTCCAAGCTCCATAGATAGAAATTCCTGCTGCAACCAAGTGGTCCGACCTCCCGTATTCTCCCGGCCACGTCGTCTTTGACCTAAGTCTTCTATCGCTTCAAGTTCGTCTTCTCTCAGTCCTCGTTGACTTTCCTATCAGGTGCGCTCAGCGTCTTCGGCTCACCGCCATTGCTGCCTAGCCATTTGTTGTTAGGCTGAGTTAATGGGATATACCATATTTTCGTGGCGCATGCCACTTTATGATGACGGCAGTTTTCTGCTAGACCGCGCAGTGAAACAAACCCGTTAGTATGAAGATTACTTTCGGCGATCAACTCGCATGGAATGATTTGCTAAACAACTTCTCTCTTACGAAAAAAACAGCAACAGAGAAACGGTCGAAGAGGGACTGGTAAAAAAAGCTGTGTCTCCTTTCTTCACTGGTCCTGTGCTTGTTTTTCGCGCTGTTTTTATTTCACCAATGTCGTACCAACTCGCCCTAGCACACAAATAATAAAACAGAAACTGACAATCTGTGTGCATTTTTTCACTGCGCTTCGGTTGCGTGAAAAAATTCAGCCACTTTTTGATATGGAGCAGTAATATTCTAACACAAAGTGGGGGTTTCCCAACTTACGAGCTCGCAGTTTCAGAAGCCTCTCGGTGACGTTCTCGTATCCGACTTCTGAAAAAAAAATACAAAAGGAAACTTTGGTCAAGGTGAAGATTGATTGATTTGTGGGGTTTAACGTCCCAAAACCACCATATGATTATGAGAGACGCCGTAGTGGAGAGCTCCGGAAATTTCGACCACCTGGGGTTCTTTAACGTGCACCCAAATCTGAGCACACGAGCCTACAACATTTTCGCCTCCATCAGAAATACAGCCGCCGCAGCCGGGATTTGAACCCGCGACCGGCGGGTCAGCAGCCGAGTACCTTAGCCACTAAACCACCGCGGCGGGGCAAGGCGAAGATAAATGGGTGTACGGACCTTAGGTATTAATTGCCAAGCACCCCTGTGCCAATAAGACTAACACCACAGAAGGGTAGTACTCAAAATTTTAAGGGGGGGGGGGATCCGATCATTTTTTATGTATGCTTGGGTGTGCTGCAAGTATATAGGGGGAATGAAAGAGGCGAGGCCATGCGATTTCAGTAAATGTGGAGAGAGAAATCCTATCCTTAAGCGAGATCTAGGCGATTCGAGTTTGTGGAAGCAAAAAAATGAAAACTAGGAGGCTCATAAACGTGGCCGGCTCACCCTTGGAGCTACGGAGACCCCATCAAAGGCTAAAGTGAGGGTGTCGTCACTCTGCTCTATAAGAAACTGAAGGATTTTGCTATATAGCAGAACGACTCGTGCATTATCGACGTTCAATGCGTTGGCCACAGGTGCACCTGCTATCATGAATGAAGCATTTTTCGTCCGAAGTGATGCCAGGGTTCCTATATATACATATAACTCACGTGGTGCGCGGACTATTCTTATCCGCTGGTCTTCTCCCTTTAGGCCGGCGCATGCCCCATTCGGTGCGGTCATTCCCCTCTCACCTGACACCTAACTACCCGGCCACGGCTGCTGCTTGTGACTGCCGCTATTGGTGCCGACAATAGTTCCGGTGGAAAATGTCACGCTTTGTCTGGACACGGCTGAGGGTGCGTTTCCGCTAACCAAACTAATAAATGATTTCACGTTAAAAAGGAATCAAAGTTGAGCAGTGTTAACACTGGTGTTGCTATACCGCGCTCTGCAAATGGGAGAAACGCTGTACGATAGTAAGCGCTCTAAAGAGCGCATCATTAAACGATGACGGTATCAATCTCTAGCACAGAAAACGGCCTTGCTAATACCTTTAGCAGTGACTTAGATGTGCATCGGTGGCGAAGCACTCTTGTTGTGTGCTATGTCAACCTGCGTCCACTTCTCTACGGTTTAGCGTAACCTTGGCTGTGGTGTAGTGCTTCTGGTGCTTGACTGCTGACGAGAAGGTCGCGGATTCGTGTTCCACTCGCGGCCGCCGTATTTCAGTGAACTCAAAAAGCTACAGGGCTCGTCTACTTAGGTTCAGCTGCACGTTAAAGCACAACAGCTGATCGAGATCGGTAGAATCCTCCACGTCGGCGTTAACCGTAGCGTGTTTAAGGGACATAAAAGTCAATCAGGTATAATTACAGTGTAGTGCAAGATCTGCGTTTTAAGACTGCGCAAAATGACTGATTGGCTGGTGCTTAGTCTTATCACCGCATGCCCAAGAATCGTTTCCCAGGATAAAGAGGCAAAGTGTCGCTCACTGCAGGTCTTCAGGCACTCCTCCACTTCGGGGAAGTTGTTGCCGTTTCCTTGGCAGCCGCCGTAGACGAAGCGCTCGCAGTACTTGGTGGTCGTGTTGTAGAAGTAGCGAGGCACGTAGGCCTTGCACGGTCCCACCTTCTTGGGCTCGTAGCACACGGGGTTTGTGGGCTCTGGGAGTACAATGAGAGCTCGATAATATACCTTCGAGATGCGAACTATGCTGGACTGTTCGTAAATGTGTCGAATTCACTCGTCATACTTCCGAGGCACTCGAGATTAATTTGCGAAAAAGGAAATGAAAAAAAAAAACGTATTGTTTCGTGCGAGTTTAGTGAATAATTGTAACTATCGTGTAATTCAACATTTAGGTATTCTGGATGACGTAGCGTTACACTTTTGCAGAAAACGAATCAAAAATAGGGGTTGACATGCATGCACGCTTTGTTTGGGGTTGTGTTGATTTCGAGTAAGGAAAAACTTTGCTTTCGAAGTTTGTCTTGGAACTGTGCAAGTCCAAGAAGCCGTCGATAATTGTAGAGGATTCGAGAAAGGGGTTTTCTACGCAGCTTATTAAGGTTATAAAAATACACATTCATTGCCCATAAGGTTCAATTCATACTGTGCTAATCTCACCTTGTTGCTGCTTAGCCACTAGTCGAGAGAAAACAGGGGAAGAATTTCGGTTCACATATGGTAATATTGCCCTCAAGGGGACATTTCAATTACAAAAATTGTTGATAGTTTGAAGGTACCCAAAGGTAAAAGCCGAGAGATACTACTTCTGAAGTGGCCAATAAGCTTAACTATGTGGTTGACATTAGCAGTGCAATAGATGATGTCTTTGTCCCTAGAAAAGCTGACCAAGAGGTTACGTGAAGCCGCATAAAACTGAATCGCACATAACCTAAGTTATGGGAGAATTCAATGGGATAAATGAACGTGGTAGTGCGACGACACATTACAATGCAGGCGTACAGCCGCGGTCACGTCTGTGTAGAGCACGCAAGCAGCCGGGCTTTGCTGTGTGGGGCGAAACTTTGAGGCAGTATCGGGCTCTGATGTGGTCAGCCTCACAACTATGACACGAATGCTCATAATACACCCCTTCAGAGCCCGAAAATGTCTCAAGGTTTTGCGCCCTGGAGCAAAAACTGGCTGCTCACGCGCTCTACACAGATGCGGCCGCGGCTGTACAGCGAGTGCCATATTGGGCTGACTTGCACGTTTGCCATGACACACTGCCAAACTTTGGATTATATGGCCTGAACAAAGTCAGCTCTAACAGCTCTTGATCACGATATAAAAGGCTACTTATCGGGGGCATTCTTATGCAACTTCATATAAAAGTTATTCGTAACACATGCAAGATTGGGTGTCTTCCGAATGTCTCATGTACCTGCGTTAGATATGTTATCACTGGAAGTATGCCCAAAACCACCCTTGTTTCTTGTGCACATGGTTCACAGTATTGTAGCAACACTTCCTCTCAATCAAGTTTGCAGAAAGAGATTCGTACGTACTTGGTTCCGATTCAAGGTTCAAAAAACCAGCGTTAAGGTTCTTCGGATCTGCAAAAAAAGAAAGAACAACATATTTATAAATGAACATGTTGCAATTCGAACGCAAGATTATATAAAACTTTTCATTTCACAGAGGAACAAGTGGGGATGCCTCCTTCTTTAACTGGTACATCACATCACGGGAGAGAAAAAAAATTGTTGAGCAGTGTGACAGAACACTTTGTCCTCTTGTGTCGGTATGCCCGGCCATTTTTTCTTCACCGTAATGCGCAATACCAGTTCAAGTACGACGAATCAACTCGCCTGATCTTCAACATCTGTGGGATCTATGATGTTCATATTTTGATTTTCTAGGTGCAACTGATTAGAGTGAATTTCGTTGCGATGCAAGACAGAACAACTTCGGTAATTTAGGAGATCGCTGGGCAATGAAGATGGTGTTTGCGCGCAGTTCTGTTCAATCATGACGGCCCGCTATCCTACAGATGCACGAGTTTTGCTGCCTAGGCCACTTATTTTTCAGGAGAAGCACAATAGTTGCTAGAATTATATGCACGTTAAAAGAAAGAGCAATAGTAATGAAACAGTTTGACTGGTCGATCGGAGACAAAGCCAAGAAAATGACATATACAAGCGAAACGCGCTGTGCTTTTCCTGAGTCGGCCTTTTGTTTTGTCCCGTTCTGAAGAATTAACGTTCTTTCCTTACTACTATGCCTAAAGAAGTGGCGAGTTTTTTTGAAAATTTACTTGGTTGAGAGAAAATTTTCAGCTGTAGGACAGGTGATTCTTGGGTCATTCTTGCGCTTATGTAGATATTCATGAATAAGTAATGTTCGTAATACGCTGCCAATAGAAGACTTCAAATGAATGTCCTATCACTTGGGAAAAAGAAAACAAGACAAATTGGCTTTTAGTAAAAAGAACATTCTTACTTATCACTGTAATGCTGTCATAACAATTGCCGAAAAATGTTTAGTTGAAAATGTTAATGCGACTGTTACATTTGCACTACTCCAATATAAATTCATCCCACTTATGTTTAAGTGTTGGAGTGTCCACGATTCATCAACAAACAAATGCTGTGAATTGATTTTACGTTAGTCGTATATTGTGGAGCATTCACGGTGGTCACAATAATTTTTTTTTTCGTCGGTACACTGTCATTGTGACACTACAACTGCTAGTGATTTGCTCAACGGATATGTTTAGGTCATATTGAGCGGTGAAAATCCTCCTTGCCGGAATAGTGGACTCCTGATGACCTTGATAGACACCATGGTAAACTGAAACAAACGCACAAAGGTGAAAAAAAGAGCACTGATATTAAATATACAGCATTAGTTTCTGTGCAAGATGTTTTATCATGTTGCCGAGGTTCGTGTGCCTCCGAGTTCAGACACTCGACAGCTTATCGCCCACAAACTAATGACCTGACCGAGAGCACGAATGGAACACTGATCAGCATGCTGTCGATCTACTCTGCTTCGGACCACAAGAACTGAGACGAAGTGTTACTATTTGTTACAACTCTGCGAACGCGAAACCACAAGCTGTTGCCCTTTCTTCTTCCTCCACTACGCTCTCTCACCACGTCATACACTGAACAATATTCTTGCTTTTGCGACCCAGGAGGATTAGTATATCGCCGAGACGTTGGGTTGGGAAGATTTAGCGCTTAGTGGCGCTGTTTATTTATCAGTGTGAGCTATGAAACCCGGGCTGAATTCTCAATTAGGTTTGTTGCGAAATTGTTTCTTGCTATCCGCAAACCTCCCTTAATAATTAAATGATAGAGCATCGAATGCCTTAAACGTTCTCTACTAAATATTTTTGCATGAACCGATTGCGTGAATAGGGAAGCTAAAATAGGCAGCGACTACCTAAATTAATCTTACGAAAACAAGATATGCTTCAGAATAAAGCGTGACCCCGAAATTTTTAGGATGAATTGGTCCATTTTTTTACAAAATCACTACCACAAGAATGCCAATGACGCGTTACGCCAATGTTGGTCACTACCACAAGAATGCCAATGTCGCGTTACGCCAATGTTATTAATGAATCGTTCCGAGCCTTTCAAGTAAGATTGTAATGTGCTCGGCTTACCTGCAAGTCTTGCGGCACTCGTTAATGGTCCAGAAGTTGTTGGCGTTTCCTTGACATCCTCCGTAGATGAACTGCTCGCACTTCTTGCTTACGCTGTTGTAGTAGTAGCGAGGGAAGTAGGCGAGGCACATCCCGGACTCTTTTGGAAGAGAGCACACGGGATTCGGAGGCACTGCGTTGAGAGAGAAAGGGATATTTTCACCAACAGATTGGCTTGTCGAAGCGAATTCATTCAGCATCATAATAGAAAGTAGTGCGAAAGACTGGGCGCCCATGCTCTCAAGCGCTAAGGTTCTTTCGCGATTGAAGCAGAAAGTGGCACGAAGAAATTGATCAAGCATTTATTTATTAGCGAATTTGGCGATAAATGCGTAGCGAGGCTTGCTTTCACGCTGTATCCCACTAAAAAAGATATCTTGAGCGCCAGCGACTACATCTAATATTGTTTGTTAATGTGTGTATATCCTGACCATGTGAATGTTAGCACTAGTTACATCTTTTTTTCTATAAAACCCACTTGAGAGGGTTTTGCGCCGCGTTTGAGCAGTGCTTTCTTTTCCCTCGTCTCTTGCGCTAATTTCTACTACAAAGAAATGGTCTAGGATGCTTTTTGTTCGTAAACGACATCATTTCATTACGTGACGTGATGGATTCCGAGAGAGCGGCGTTGAACCCTGACCACGTGATGACTCCCGAAGAAACACGTGTGCGACGGTAACGTCAGTGGAACGCGCGTGTAAAGGTGCTAAGCATAATAAACCAGCAGAAAATTACGAGCAAATACGACGGCGACAAATTTGGATGTCTCGTCGCTTTATAGGACATAATCTGTTGCCGTTAGCCTGTCGGCATTCGCAAGACTCTTTTGTAGGTGTGCTGCATCGACAGCGTTCTGTTGGTCCACAGGAAATTTCAGAAGCATCAAGCACGTTTCTATCGTGCGATTTCAGTGCCTGTTACGATAACACTTTTTAGGTATTGTGCACTTAAGGGACCCGGGCTGTCATACGCTGTCGTCGTTGTTTCATGTCGCTTGGCGTCATGCGTACAAAACCATGCATAACGTTGCAATGTATAAGCAAGAGGGCTTAATAAAAAAGTGGGGGAGTGGGAGAAAGACGAACGGAAGGGTGTTGAGGAGTCGTGAGGTATGCCGTCATCGTATGCTGTCATCTCATGTCATCGCTTGGCGTCACGCAGGTGAAAGCATGTATAGCGTAGCCATTTATAGTGAGCGGGTGGGAAGGAACGTGAGGGTGAGAGACAGTGATGTGACGTTGAGTAGGAATAGAATGAGAAGAAGAGAAAGTAATCTATGACACCGTCATTCATGACGTCATGAGGGCGGAATCATCTGTAGCATAGCCATAGAAAGGGTGGTATGGTAAAGCTGTGGGATGTAGAAGTGGATGTAGGAGAGGAGAAAGGTGGAGGGGAGAGGGTGAAGCGTACGTCGGTTCCAGCACCCATCCTCGGTTTACGTTTTCATGGTTTAAGATAACGTATTTTAGAACATTGGAAAATTTTGTTGAAGATTCTGACGTCACTGCTAAGCCAAACAATGTTTTGGGCAATCACAATTGATGGTAATTTGATTCTATAGTATAGAAGGTACTTACCTACGGAGCAGAAACCTGGGGGCTTACGAGGAGGTTTCAGCTTAAATTTAGAATGACGCAGCGAGCGATGAAAAGGAAAATGATACGTGTAACGTCAAAAGACAAGAGAAGAGCAGACTGGTTCAAGGAAAAAACTGGGGTTAAAAATATCATTGTTGAAATCAAAAAGACGAGATAGACACTGACCGGGAATGTAGCGTGTAGGCAGGATAAATGCTTGTTATGAAGGATAATTACCTGGATTCCCGGAGAAGGTGAACGCATCAAGGAGAAACAGAAAATTAGGTGGGCTGATGAGGTTAAAAAGTTCGCAGATTTGACGTGGCAGCAGCAAGCATAGGACCCAGTTGATTGGCGGATCATGTGAGACGCCTTTGTTTGCAGTGGGTGTGTACCAGGCGGGCCACCGCTTAATAAATCGGGATGATCCCACCTCACCTGGCCACCTTGAGAGAGGGCGCGCGCGCGGCGCGGCAGCCATCAATAAACAGTCCCTTGCTAGCTAGCGTCTCGTGTGGTTGTGTCTTTGATGAGCGCGTAAAACAGAACATGGTGTCAGAAGTGTAACAGTCGAACCCTGCGCTGAAGATGGACTGCCTACCACCACCCGAGCCACTTGTACTGACAAATACTCCGGCCGACAACTGGAAAAAGTTCCGCCAACGAATCGAACTCTACTTCAAAGCTACTGAGACCAACAAGAAACGGACGCCAGCACAGAAGGCTGCCATCTTTCTACACGTCGCGGGCCCAGAGGCAATTGAAGTGTTTAACACCCTACCTCTATCAGCAGAACAACGAGAGGACTATGACTCGATCGTCAAAGCCTTCGAAGACTACTGCACGCCTCGGTGCAACGAGACATTCGAGAGGTACGTTCTGCGCAGTCGGCAACAACAGGATGGTGAACCTTTCGAACAGTTTTTGCGCGATATTCAGTTGAAAGCACAGACTTGTAATTTTGGCGAACTTAGGGACTCGATGGTGAGGGACCAGATAGTGTGCGGTATCGTCGACAAGAAGCTACGTGCACGCCTGCTTCAGGAGAAGGACTTAACCCTAGAATCAGCTGTAGAAATCTGCAAAGCCGCGGAACTGGCAGCAACGCAGAACCGGGCTCTTGAAAGCGAAGCGAAAGTGCAGAGAGTCGAAAAAATTGCAAACGCTGCCGGACAGTCTCGTACGAGCGGACAACGTCGACGCTGTGGCTACTGTGGCAAGATTCACGGACCAAGACGCTGCCCAGCGTTTGGAAAAACGTGCACGCTGTGCAACAAAAGAAACCATTTTCCAGCTTGCTGCAGGAGTAGACGCGGCGTTCATGAGTTAGGCGTCGCTGCAACAGAAGATGCACTGGAGGAGTCCTCGGACGCTACCGATGAAGACATTCAAGTTCTCACGGTACAAATCAGAAACGTGTCCAAAAATCAGGATTGGACGGTGGCAGGGGACCTTGCCGGGCACCCGACAGAACTGAAAGTGGATACAGGAGCGCAAGCGAACATATTGCCGTACTCGTACTTTCGCAGGATGCGTTTGCCGACCATGGTGCGGCCATCGACCACAGTACTTACTAACTACGAAGGAAGCAAAATACATCATTTGGGCGTTATCAGTCTGCCACTACGTCTAGGAGAGCAGCAAGAGAATATCAGTTTTTTTGTGGTCAAGAGAGGCAAGCAAGTCCTACTCGGATTGAATGCAGCAGAACGTTTCGGGCTGATTTCCCGCGTTCACGATGTATCTTCAAGAAGTGACGTTAGCACCGACTGGGTCACCGAGTTCCCGGAGTTATTCCACGGTCTGGGCTGCATCCGTAGACCATATTCGCTGGCAATGAAGGATGATGCGCGCCCCACGATCATGCCGCCGAGGAAAGTGCCACACGCACTGCGAGCGCCACTTAAGCAGGAGTTGGCCCGGATGGTCTCGCAGGGCATCATATGCAAAATGGAAGAGCCGTCAGACTGGGTGAGTCCACTTGTTCTTATTATGAAGAAGAATGGCCGCATGCGAATATGCCTAGACCCGCGGTACATTAATCGAAGCCTTAAACGCGAGCATTATCAGCTACCCTCACGTGAAGAAATAGAAGCAGAGCTGGCAGGAGCGGTGATGTTCACCAAGCTTGATGCCAATAGCGGGTTTCACCAGATCCCCTTAGACGAAGACACTTCAAAGATCTGCACCTTTAGCACGCCGTTCGGAAGATACCGATTTTTGCGCCTGCCATTTGGTATCGCGTCCGCCCCCGAAGTATTTCAGAAGGCAATGACGGAAGTGTTTGAAAACCTGCCGGGCACACGCGTATATGTCGATGATATTTTAATTTGGGGTGCATCAAAAGAGCAGCATGATCAACGCCTGCGTGCAGCACTGATGGCAGCGAGAAAGGCTGGCCTGACACTGAACAAAGAAAAGTGTCTGTTCGCGAAGGCCGAAGTTAAATTCCTGGGAGATTGTATCAGCAAAGAAGGAATAAAACCCGATGCTAGTCTCATTGAATGCGTTGCCAACATGCAAAAGCCGTCGAGTAAACAGGAAGTTCAAAGGTTTTTAGGTATTATGAATTACTTTGGCAAATTCATACCTAATCTCTCAAAAAGAACTGACGCCCTTAGGTCATTGATAAAGAATGATGTTGAATTCATATGGGAAGTTCACCATGACAAAGAATGGAAAGATCTTATTAAGGCTTTGACATCGGCTCCAGTGATCGCAGTTTTTGACCCATTGAAGCAAACGAAACTCTCAGCTGATGCATCAAGCTTTGCAGTAGGTGCTGCTCTTCTTCAACTCCATGACCAAGATTGGCGCCCAGTGGGTTATGCTTCAAGGGTGCTCTCAAAGGCTGAAACAAAATATGCCCAAATTGAAAAGGAAGCGCTGGCCGTGACGTTTGCTTGTGAGCGTTTCCGGGAGTTCGTACTGGGGTTATCAGTGACAGTCGAAACAGACCACCGACCTTTGCTTGCTATTTCACAAAAGAACCTGAGTGAAATGCCGCCACGATTGCAGCGCTATTTCTTGAGGCTAATGCCTTTTGATATCAAATTGCAGTATGTTCCTGGGAAGCATCTGCTAGTGGCGGACACGCTGTCCCGAATTCCAGGAACCCAACCGAGTGACGGAGAAAGCGAACAAGACGTATGCATCCATGCGACTCGCGTGCTAGCCAGCATCGTAAGTGAGAACACGAAGACTGAACTGACCTCTGCAATCCTGGCGGACCCATACCTCAAGCAAGTGGTGGAGGCACTCCAGGAAGGACGACCAGTCTCAGGCGAACTAGCTCCATGTCTGTCAGAACTGTCATTTGTTGATGGAGTGCTTTTGCGGGGCAGCAGGGTGGTAATCCCAAAGAGTCTGAGGCGATCCATGCTGCAACGTCTTCATGAAGGCCATTTGGGAATGAGCAAGTGCAAAGCCAGAGCACGCCTTCTGATGTACTGGCCTGGGATGAATGCTGACATCAAGTCACTCATTAGCAAGTGTGCCACATGTCAGCACTTTGCCTACCGGCAACCTTCAGAGCCACTGTTATCGAGGGAAA